TGACTTCCAAAGATTTAGATACTGTGCTCCTATTGATGCAACCTAGCATTCTATTGACTTTTTAAAGCTGCCACATCACAATGTTCAGCTTGTGGTCCATCAAAACTCCTAGATCTCTTTCACATGTGCCTAGTGTCAGCCATCCTATATATGTGCATTTGATTTCTATTGTGATGAAAGAGGGACCATAGGACCATGAGTTGCAGAAATACTAACACAATACTAATCCATAGTTCAACATAGTTTAAGGTATGATTTAATTATAGTTTAGTGTTACAGTTCATTCAGAGATAGATACATGCATATACAGATTAGATAGACACATAGATTAGTCATATGGATAGGTAGATAGAGAGAGAGAGATAAGTAGTGAGGTAGGTAGATGTGTGTGTGTGTGTGTGTGTGTGAGAGAGAGAGAGATGAACTCATAAGACTTTTCTCAAGCACAAATGTTTAGGTTCACCTATCAATAAAACTTCTCCAGTTATAAAATACATTTGATCAACACATGCATTATTGAATTAGTACATTTACCATTTCTTGTAGTAATGATTGTTTTATGAGTGATGTTATGAGTTGACAAACTGTAATAATTAGTGAAGCTGACTTAATTGAGATTCTGTTCCTCGTTTATTCTTTCATTTCCACTAATTCTCTATTATCAGTAGGTTTCCTCCTTGTGCATTGCTTTAGATTTCAAAATATATATTTTTAAAAAGATGCTATATAATAAGCACATCAGATCTTGTGTTTATACAATATTTCATCAGGCAGTCAAACTGGTTCATTTGCAACTCTCTGAAAGCCACAGGAGGTTGGGGCCAGTATGTGATACTATTATTGCTTTGACCAGCTTTGTGATATACTTTTTTGAAATGAATATACTTGTTCTAATTCCAGTGTTTCTCTATATTCTTCTGGATAGGATGATCATTCTGAAACAAATTACTCTGCAGCATGCTGCTTATTAAATTTGAGTGAAAAATTCATAAATAAGGATTTTATATGGCGGTGTAGAAAGGGCCTTAATCATCCATATAACTACATCCTAAAAATATAACAAGATGTTGTGTCACGTCAGATTAAATGCAGGAATACCTTAAAAGGAAATGATGAATTATTGTCTCCATGCAACTATACTTGTTCCATTTTTTGTCTTGTACTTCATACAAATATAGTTCACGAATAATGTAATCATGTACTGTGTATATCCTGAATTGCAGTGGCATTTAAATATGTGCTTACTCACTCATATTTAATTAAATCTTAAATGCATGCCTATATTTGAATTTAGTCAGAAGAGTCATTCTTATGTTAGTGACAAAATTCTCACAATTATTTAAAATATGGACAGTTCCCTTAAAGTTAACAGTTAACAGTGATGTTAACAGTGATGTTAACTTTAACACATGTATATTCATTTTTTGTTAACATGAATCATCAAAAATATATAAAGCAGAGAATTAATATCACGAAAAGAAGAAGTCCATTGTGTGTAGTAGTATTTTCATTGACACTAATATATTGGACAGAAAAATAACAAACCAGGACAGGAGATTTTGTTGGTGGCAGAGAAGAGTACATGGGGAGGGGGGCATGGGGGGATTAATATGAGAAAAATTATGGCCATTGTATTTTGCAAAATCAATTTTGCAAAATAATACAGATGTGATTCAAGCCATGTAGTGACATTAGCTAGAAAGTTTCACATTTATTAGCTGTTCCCTACATTGAGTAACCATCTTATCTCATAAATCTGGCTAATGAGCAGCAGGCAGAACAGACCACAAGGAACATGTTATGTTGTCTTAGAAGTCTGTTGCTATTCTTTAGGCAAAATAAAGAAGATGACATGATCCAGATCAGGAATATAGTATACTTGTTGCTTTACCAGATTCTTCCTTTATTTTGTTCCATTTTTGAGAGGTGGGGTTGGGGGGTTGGGAGCATAAACAAGAAAACACTAGAAAGTAACATGTAATTTGGCTTCAGTTACTGTTTCCTTGATGTGATAGATTCAGATAGAATTCCCATCTGTGCCTCTCAATTCTGAGGATGATCGCTGCTTCAAATTAAGTTTTTTTTCCTTTTTGCCAGCAGATAAAATACTTTTTATTTGAACAATTTTACAATTAACAGGTCACACAAAAGGCTTTTAATGGAGAATGTGCTGCATTTTTATCTTTATTGTTATAGCTGATAAATGATTTTGATATTTTTACTTGCTAGCAAATTTAATTGTTTTTCAATTTATTAGGATTTCAGTTCTTTCTTGTATTATTCAACTTTTGTATTATTTGGATTTAAGCTGTATCATGTTTTAACTTGGTCAGGAGAATGGCAGGATATGCATTTTGGGTTTTTTTTTTTGCGGAAAACTTTGCACCATAGGCTATAAAGCACCAAAGAATCTTGTGGCAATGTATAGACTAATGAACGTACCATGGTATATAAGCCTTTGTAGCCCTCTAAGGACTGAAGTAGATTAAGTGGGAAGGAAATCACTGTCTCTTTCAAAATTTATCTTGCTTTTGTTTTCCTTCTTGAACTTCAGCCAGAAATTACAGCTTCCCATAGTTTCAAAAGCCAGTTGATTCTGATTGGTGGTATCACCAGTCTTCCAAGTATACAAAGAGATTCTGTTGGGATCTATAATAAGTATGGATTTATGTATGTATTTCATTTGTCCTTAAGCTTAGTGAGGAATTTGTTGGATCTTACATTCTTGGCAGAATGTGATTTCCAACAAATATCAGGGTAATTGAAGTCTTCAATTACTACTATACATTTCCCTTTTGAATATTTGGTTAATTGTTTTAGAAAAAGCGTCATCCAGATCTTCAGCCTGGCCTTAACACCCATTTTGGTGTCTACTTTGTTTCTGTCCTACTGATTTTACACCAATTTTCCTTAACCCTGCTCTATGTCACTGATACCCTCATAATTGTATATCTCCTTGACATACAATGCTATTTCCCGTTTTCTACTTTTTAGTCTGTTTCTTTTGAAAACATTATATCCTGTTTTGTTACTACATTTTAATAATTAAACTAATCCTATTGGATTTCAGTTATACTGATTCTTGTGTTAAGGGTTCAGGTTCATATCCTATCTTTTCATCTGTAGACCCTGTAATCATTTCAAGATCTCTCCACATCTGTAAATGGAGAAATTCTGCATTGGATTTACAATGCCACCAGGAAACACAGTTGTTTAATGTCTCTTACAAAAGCATAGACTTGTATGTATGCAATTCTGTAGGCATGCAGGATATGGTAATGGGCAAATTGTTTAGTTTACTGATAACTTCAATTTCTCATTCTTGTGACTGCAAAAAACATATTTGCAAGTGTGTGACACGTCTGCTAAAGCTGCAGATGAGGCTGAACTGGCACTGTCTCTTTTGTGCTGAAGAAACTAACACTGGATTAGAATGATTTGTTACGCATCATATCTCCACCCTGTATGGTAATGTTGTAAGTTGCACCCTGTATTTGCACTTCCGTTTTTTCCAAACCTGTCTCAGTTATTTTCCTTTATTGACATAGACAACAGTGCAGCCTGGAAAAGTTATTTTTTTGAATTACAAGTGTCTGTGTTTGTACATGCTCTGGTTAAGAATCTATAACGGCTTCTGTTGCTTGCCAATTTTCTGGATTCATCAATACCAACATGTCCTATGTTTTTACAAATATTTTTTACATCCAAGTTTTGGCTTTTTGGGAATATTTAGCATCTTGCTACTGGTTAGTATATGGAAGAATATAGAAGTATATGGAAGTACTGGTTAGTAGATGCAAGTTGTAGACCATATTCAGAAGAAGGAAGGGGCAAACTTCCTTTGAATATATCTTGCCAAGAAAATCGTATAATAGGGTCACTGTCAACCTGAAGGCACATGACAACAATTAGAGACTTATCAGCAAGCCTGTCTGTCATAGTTCCTTTCCATTTATCCCAAATCATCACAGATGGCTTTTAAGACAAGCCTTTGTACTTGACACACTGACTGAAGTTGTAATCTTAATCTTGTTAAGGAAAGGTCAAGGGAGCATTGCATATACAGTTGGGCTTTCATATCTATGGATTCCACCCTGCACAGCCTGAGAATATTCCCCCCCCCCCAAATCCAATAATTTTATATAAGGGAGACCATTTTATTATGGCATTATATGTAAAGGAATTTGAGTACCCATGGGTTTTGGTATTCATAGGAGATTTGAATGAAACCCCATTGGATACCAAGGACCCACTGTAGTAGAGATGAAGGCAACTGGGGGCATTTCCCCCTTTGTTTACATCTTTCATACTTCCAGAACACTTAAAAATATCTACCAAAAGAAACCAGAAAGTAGACCTATGAGTAGATATCTGGCCTATCTTCATCCTTTGCCAGTTTCCCAATTAAATTTCTCCACCATCTAAAACTGCTATCTGCTCCATAGTGAATAAATATTCGCTGTCGTACAGATGTCTGTATTTCCACCTACAGAAATGATTAACTTTGAAGGAAGGAACATAACGAAGAAAATAGCATTGGATTCACAATTGACTGTTATCTGTCTGGTTCTAATTCAGTTTCGGGACACTAGTAGCAATTAAAACAATTAAATTATGTCATCAGAATATGTTTGATCACTTCTTTGCCATTTTTCTAGGCATAGTTCATTCAGATGTCAAGTGTAGTATCCACTTTCCCATTATGAGTACTCACTGGGAAAGTATTAGACCCAATGGGTCAGAGATAGCAGAATTGCTTAGTACAGGCTGTGTGTGATTGGAACACTGGCTTCAAACCAACACGATAAAACAAATGCAGCATAAATGTAGTACAATATACACAGAGATCAATAAATAAGCAAACAAACAAATTACAGGATGAGAAAGACCTGGTTTAGTAATAGTACATCTGAAGAAGGTCAAGGTATTGTACTGCAATTGTTAACAGTTTCTATACAATTTGATCCTTTTTAATACTTTGCTATTTATTTATTTGCTAGGTTCTCACAAATGGCATAATTGCAGTCAGTGAACCTTCAATGGAAGATGATTATCTTGGCCAGTTTCCTCTCAATTTTGGAGGCATAGCTCCCTTTTATGCTGATTTGGATACTACAGGTGGACAAGGGAGGGTGTATTATAGGGAGGACTCATCTCCTGACATCCTTCAACTTGCTGGCAACTATATTAAAAGGTGTTTTCCAGAGTCTACCTTTGAACCAAGTAGTGTTGTCATTGTTACCTGGGATTCTGTGGCTCCTTATGCTGGACCTGGAGAAGATGTCACTTTGCAAGCAAAGGTAAGTAAGCAGAAGTAGCAAAAGACAAATGACCATAAGTTTAGTCCCCTGCTGTGTTAAATGACAAAACTATAGCAGATTAAGTAACAGTGCCTATTTATTTTGAAGTAAATACACTGATGCCTATACAGTTTATAGCTCTTTAAAGCCTCTTCAAAACTAATGTCCTGCAAGTGTTTTATGCTCCAGGTCCACAAGCCTCAGAGACAGTGTTAAAATTTATAGGAGTGACACCATACAATACCTGGGGTACTTCTAGTTATGAAAGATCTAGTGTAGTTCTGAGATTGCAAGTGTCCATTCAGTTCTATATAGTTTCCTCGGGTCATATAGTAAAATTCAGAACTTGTGGGTGTGGTGATGAAGTGACACATTCAGTTTTAGGGGTCATTGGAGGAACAAAGACAACAAAGCTCTGTGTTTCAGAATACATTGCTTTTGAAACCAGGATAATTTTTCAAAAGCTGTTTATTATTAGGTATTGGATATGCTTGGTATTGGATATTGGATACGCCAGGGCCCCCTGGCAGTGCAGTGGGTTAAACCACTGAGCTGCTGAACTTGCTGACCAAAAGGTCAGCGGTTTGAATTGGAGAGCGGGGTGAGCTCCCGCTGTTAGGTCCAGCTTCTGCCAACCTTGCAGTTCGAAAACATGTAAATGTGAGTAGAGCAATAGGTACCGCTTCTGCGGGAAGGTAACGGTGCTCCATGCAGTCATGCTGGTTACGTGATGTAAGAGTTGTCTACGGACAACGCCGGCTCTTAGAAATGGAGATGATCACCACCCCCAGAGTTGGACACGACTAGACTTAATGTCAGGGGAAGCCTTTACCTATTGGATATGCTATTTAGAAGTGTGTGTGTGTGTGTGTGTTAACAAAAGCCCTTTTCAGTCTTTCTAGGCATCCTTGGATATACTTAAAGTAAAGCTTTGGAGCCCAGTGTTGGGGTTTTTATTTTAGGAAATGTTGTAGGATTGATTTCTCAAAATGCTGCCTGTTTCTGCAAGATGCTATTGAGGGGAATGTTTCTAAAATAATTGATTCTGTGTTCCATAATAAATTATGTTATACAAACTGTTCCATAATGAATTATGTTATATAAACTGATCTTAATGAGATGGAAAAGTTTATGGATTACATCTAATTGTGCATATTCTTCTATAAATACATTAATTAAAATCTTTCTTGCAGAGAAACACATTCCAGGCAGTTTTAGCCTCTTCCGATTCCAGTTCCTATGCAATTTTTCTCTATCCAGAAGATGGCTTGCAATTCTATAGTACATATTCTAAAAATGATAATGAACTTGTTCCAGCTACTGTTGGCTTTAGTCAACCTGCTACTAATTATTACTTGTGGATAAAACCCGGATTATACAAAACCATTGCTAATGAAGAAGAAACTCTTAGTAACCTGCACAGGTATGTTTTTTTATTCGTGTTTGTGTAATTGTTATTGCTATACCATTGACATACAAGAAAAACAAAGAGAACCAACATTGCCAAAGGTGTACAATTTAAAATACACACATGTGTACAGCAGGGAAAGACAAAGCGAAAGTAATGTACAATTATATAATACAGTTATAAAACAGACTATTCAGATATATTACACTGAATCAAAGTGACAAATGCATATTGACCAAAAGTAAAAGACAATAAAATCAAACTAAAAATCTAAAAATGTTGGGAAACAAAGTTTTCAATTGAATTTAGAAACAAGGAGGGAAGAAATAGTCCACAAATGTTCAGGAAGACAATTCCATGAGTATCGAACAGCAAATGAGAAAGTTCAGCTAGCAAAGAAGAAACCTTTAGTTGAATAAGAAGCCTAGGTAATACTCCCACCCATCAGTTGTATGAGCACTTCTGCTGATGAGAGCACTGGATGTCTGCAATGGCCAGCAGCTCTCACACAGCTCTGCTGCATCAGAGGTCCCATCATCTGCTTTTCCCTGTGCAGATGAATGCAAGGAAAAGGTCAGCATGATTGCAGTCTGTGAGGACAGCAAACTGGCTCATATAGGACTCAATCCTGCCATCCACACTAAGTGAAGCTGTGGTGTTACTCCTAACTTCCAGCCTAATTCCCAAGCATCCGCTGCATTTTTTAATGCAAAGCCAAACCAGGTTAACCCATTTTACAATGCAATGAGCACAGGTAATGCAAGAACATCATAAAGACAGACAGGAATGACTGCACATTGAGTGTGTACTATTAAGTCCATTTATACAAGCTCTGAGCCTGTCAAGAGTCAACTGGAAGCCAGTCAGTAGGACCACAGGACTGTTTTGTGCCAATATAGAAGCAAAGCTGTGAGTGGTTTCCTAAAGCCCCAAAATCAGTAGTGATGTTCTGTCATGAAGCTAAAAAATGTTTTCGGATATAGGCTCCCATTGCTGTCCTATACATTGTGGAAATTATGGGAACATATTTTAGCAACTTTTGATCTCATTTTTACTTGTTGTTGTTACTGGTAAAGTACCATCACTATGAACAATATTTTGCAGACCGAAAGTAAGAGTTCCATTCTAAGGCAATGTATAAAATTGGAAAGTATGCATTAATAACAAAGAAAGGATGCACTGGATAGCGAAGGAATAGCTCTATTATGTAAAAAATGTTTATCATAATGTGAAAAGAAGAACCTTGTGTACATTAAATACTAGTTCACTATACTCAGGAAGGATGAAACTTATTGAAAACTGGTATTCTGTGCATAGGTAACAACTTGCCTTATGTCTGTTTTTGAGCCAGTATTTCTACAAAGTTGAATAATTAATGTTGAAGCAGTTAAAATACAATGTAGAGTGACTGGTATGCCTGTTTTGCTGCATAGCTGTGCTTTTCTTGCATTCTAGGAGCAGTAATTTGGGAAAACAAGGAGTCTGGGCATTTGAAATTGGTGGCTCAGATATTATCCTGCCAGCCTCCGAGAGTCCTGTCAGTGTTGATTATGGAGACTATGATCAGTTCCAGGAAGTCACAATAGAGCCCCCCATATCACAGGACTCTATAGAGATAAGCCAGCCGGAAGTATCCTATGAGATTCCCAGCAGGGGAGATAGCATACAGACCAGCTACATCATACCTCAGCCAGCAGCAGAAGATTTTCAGTCTCCGTATCAGACTGCAACAGAGCAGCCTCCCCCAGAGCCGCCTCTCCCCACAGGGAAAAACCCACCTCTCCAGTTTCCAGCCCAGCAGTTTCCCCAGCAGCATGGTCAGATTATCGATGTGGAAGAAGTTGATGAAACTGGAATTGGTAAGATCATCTGGGATTGCAAAGGTCATTTCAGGAACCACTGAATGAGTTGCAGCATGATCTCATCTAAATCCAGCACTCCGTATTGCCACATATACTGACAGACACAGATGTGCCAATTCTTACCCCCCCCCAAGAAAGATTACGCCGTGAACAGCTGGTTCCTCTCAGATCTTAACAGGTCATAGAGAGGTGAAAGCAGACACACATCCCTCAAAGCTGTAGTTTTATTATTTTTAAAGTGATTTGTGGTAGACATTACATTCATAAAGGTCACTCATTACTCATTACTTTAAGAAAAACACATTACTAGATGTTTTACTTTTTAGTGTTTACCAAGTACTGTTCACTGAAATTTTAGAAGTGATGTGTAAATGTGCAACTTTCATTTTATTTTATATATCGACCTTTCTCCTGACACAGAATTCAAAGCTCCTACATAACTTTCTGAAATACCATTACCCATAAGAAGTAAAATACCAATGGATCAAATTGTAACTTTTATCATCTTGCATTGAGGCTGTGAGAGCTCAGCCTCAAAAGCTCAGTGAAAGATATACCCATAATTTAGAATTGATGAAGTTTGGCAATACTTTAGCCACTGTTGCTGAATGCTGTGGAATCCTGGGATTTGTAATTTGCTGAGGTGCCAACATTGTTTGGCATAGAAGACTTGTGGCTCTTCTATACAGGCCTAAAGCCCGTGATTGCTTCTGGATTGTTCTGTGGTGTCCAAACAATGCCACTGGCTAATCCAGGTCAACTCAGATTTTCAGGTTTACTCCAGGTTAAAAAATAAACTCCTTCAAATATCCGGACCTTCCAATAAGATCTGGATGTTTGCAGGTGTGGGTCTTGTGGGAATTGAGTCCTGGGATTGTCTTCCAAGATCCTGAGAGTCAATCTCCACACCATTCCAGTTTTTTGGGCTCTAGGAGCCAGAAGAACCTGGATGCCACTGCTACCCTCCCCTCCCTTGCCTCCATTTCTAGTCTTAAACTAGTTAGTACTTTGAAGCCTCCAGAATGGATAAATCTGAACTTTTAACTTGTTTAAGAATAGAAAAGGGGGAAAGGGTTGTCTGGTGGCCACGCCCCCCCCCTCCCCACATGTCAATGCTGATTTGGGGTTTGGGCCAGCTATGTGGCCTAAATCCCGAGAAGAACTGGCATTTGAAATCCTAGTTTCTCTTGAAATTTAGAACTATCTGGAAGGGCCCTAAAAGACATTTTCAAACTACAATTCCCTTGATTCCAGAACATTGAGCCATGGCAGCTAAAGTGATTTCAGGCTGCATTAATTCAACAGTGTAGATGCATCAGAAGACTACACCACATGAATAATGTACTGATAAAAATCCATGTGGGAGTAAGTGATAGAAATGAGTTTACTGGAATTAGACATAGTTTACTGAAACGCCATGTATTCTATGCTTCAATATTTTTTTTCCAATTCTTGCTTGTTTATTTTTTCTAATCTTCATGTACTTTGACCACAAAAGCAATTCAGTATTGACCCAAAGAGGGGAAAGCATTTTCTATCAATGAGTGAAATAGAAGCACTTTTTACTACTGACTATAGCAAGCTGTATTTTTGTTCTATACTACTGACAATAGCAAGCTGCATTACATCCTTTTAGCAAAGGGAACTAAAAACAGCAGAATTGATTTTGGAGATATTTCCCCTACAGTCTACCAATATTCATTGTTTTGCACACATTTACCACACATTCTTATTATAACAGAGGCAAAACTTCTGTTAAAATGCAATATTCTATTAATGTTTCTTCTTTTTCTCTCTCCTTCATAGTGTTTCGTTACAGCACGGATGTCCAGCAGACATGTGCAAACAACCGTCATCAGTGTTCAGTTCATGCTGTTTGCACAGACTATCCAAATGGTTTCTGTTGCAGTTGTATTACTGGTTACAAAGGAAATGGCCGGCAGTGTGTAGCAGAAGGTACTTTATTTTTAAAAAATCAGAAACAACACATTTATTAGGGACCCTGCAAGTCCAATATAATATCTCTAAAGAAACACAATCCTAGTGCATCACTGAACATTCAATGGCTGTTAAAAAACAGTCAGATGCTACCCTTTTAAAATTAGTAGCTAGTTATGAAAGTTTTCATTAGGTTATAGTCAGTGTAGACTCATATAATGTAGTGGAACAGCATTGTATGAGTCTACAGTGACTATATAATGCAGTTTCAAACTTCATTATATGGCAGTATGGATGGGACCTTAGCTCCTTCCCCTGCCACTGTTTTGGTTGTGGCAGCATATCTCCCATAACATTCGAATCTGGCCATCTTGGGGTTTGTTTGTTTGTTTGTTTGGTTGGGGTTTTTTGCATTATTGGAGACATATGGTAATTTATTGTTTTTAAAATCCACATCAGAGCTTGGATTATATTGATTAAAATGAATGTGTTGTCCTTAACCTATGATATTTAAAATATTATTTTCAAAAATCAACATTGAGGATTTAAATAAATGAAAAATATGTCACATTGCTTTATTTTGAAGGGCTATGTATGAGTCTTTTGCCAGCTTCTGGGTTATTTTTACTAATAGTAAAGAAATTACAGTGCTATAACTTGCTGCCTTTGATTTTATTGTAAAAGGTTCTCCTCAGCGAGTCAATGGGAAAGTCAAAGGACGAATCCTTGTAGGAAACAACCCAGTGCCCATTGTTTTTGAGAACACTGACCTCCACTCCTACGTTGTGATGAACCATGGGCGAGCATATACTGCCATTAGCACAATTCCAGAGACGTTGGGTTTCTCCTTGCTTCCTCTTGCCCCTATTGGGGGAGTCATTGGATGGATGTTTGCTGTGGAGCAGCAGGGATATAAAAATGGATTTAGTGTTACAGGTAATTTTTACACATGTTCCTAAAAGATTGTTTTGTATATTTGAACCAAATCTGTGGTGAAATTAGGTTGTTGTTGGTTTTTCGGACCATATGGCCATATTCTAGAAGCATTCCCTCCTGACATTTCGCCTGCATCTATGGCAAGCATCCTCAGAGGTTGCCATAGATGCAGGTGAAACGTCAGGAGAGAATGCTTCTAGAACATGGCCATATAGCCTGAAATACCGACAACAACCCAGTGATTCCAGCCATGAAAGCCTTCGACAATACATTGTAGTGAAATTATTTATAGTTCAGGGAAAAAATCTTTCTCCAGCTCTGAGAAAGCCTGCCTTACATTGTCTCCTTTGCAGTTTGGTTCTTTTTGCAGCCTCTCCTCATCCTTATACACGTCACCTTTTTCCTCCAGTGACATCACAGAGGGCCACTTCACCTAGCAACATCCTTTTGGTACAAACAGAGATAAACGTACATACTTTGACTATATATATCTGTATACACACAAACACACACACACACACATAGCCTGAAAATAATTTATACACAACATTTTAAAAATTTTGTGAACGAAACAAGGCTTGTGTACACTTAACCACCAGAAAGAAAGAGTCACTATTCCAGCCACCCATGTGGACAGTTTTTGGATTTAGGGGCATTTTGGATTTCTGAATAATGGACACTCAACTTGTACTATCCAAATATGTGAATGGAAAGAAATCTTTTTTTATCTTTTGCATTTTTGGCAATAAAACAAATTTGAAAGAAGGGCGGTGTATGAAGCATTTCATTGTTGGCATTTTTAAAATAAACAGTTGCTACCTACCCATGTTACAGCAGATGTATTTCACCGATACATTGGCATAACTTTGCATACAACAACAACAAAGTTAGGAACACTAAGGCTGAAGAGAGATGTTATTTCTGAATGTCCTCTTTTTCATTAAAAAGAAAATGGTTACCCCAGCTTTGCATGGGAAGAAGTTACGAAAATGTTGTGTTGTGTAAGACAAACAGCTGTAACTAAACTGACTTTTTTTTGTACTGACTCTATTCCAAATCTTTCCGGAGTGAGTGCAAGTCAGAATGGATAAGTGCTGGACAAAAATCTTTGCCTACTTTTAAGTCAACTATGTGCTACTGCTGATACTATGGTTCATACTGGGTACTATTACAGTTTCTGTAAACATATAAGGACTGCTTTCATTTATCTCCTAGGTGGTGAATTTACTAGACAAGCTGAAGTTACATTTCTCAACACCAATGAAAAGTTGACCATTAAACAGAAATTCAGTGGAATTGATGAACACGGACATCTGACCATTGACACACAACTTGAAGGCAAAGTGCCAGAGATCCCATTTGGCTCTTCTGTACATATTGAGCCTTACACTGAGCTCTATCACTCTTCTAGTTCAGGTGAGTTAAAAATATTACAAAAACATCTCTCCTTCCGTCTTATATCAGTGTGTTTCTAAACTTGTGACAAACTTTCTAGAGTGTATAATGTGCCATCTGTATTATCTTGAATTATCTGGAGGAGGCTCAGTCCAGAATCTGAAAAGGGCCTGACTTTGATTAAACATTTATAATATCAAGTGAATCATTGTGATGATTTACTTGGGTGCTGAGTCACAAAGCTTCCTGGTGTTTTGGACATCAGCTCCCAACAGTTCCAGCTGCCTCAGCCAGTGATCACAGATTCTGATTATTGGTTACACAGTTGGAACTTCTGAGAGCTGAAGACCAAAAGCTTCACTGATAATATAATGTAGTTCAAAGCCATCTCAAAAGGTGGTGGACACAAAATGCACCCCCCCCCCCAATGCATGCTGCATTCCACATCAAGCCAGAAACAGTATATTTTTAAAAATCATCAGAAAGTTCAGAGTAACAAAGGTAATGTGATGTTAACAACCATAGCATATCCCATGCATGCTTTGAAACTGGGACTGGGAATGCAGAGTGCTTATCATAACTGCTCATACCGTTGCCCATTAAAAAGCATGGAAACACTGCTGGCCAGAAGGTAAACATCCTCTGGGAAGGATATACAAGTGAATGCTTACTCTCCTGGGAGAGGAATACATATATTTCCCATGGGAACTCCCACTTTGTCCTCATGTCCTGTGTCCTGCTATGGTCCAGCACTGATCCCAAATGGACACTTTGATCTAACCCATTGTGAGTCCCCAGATGTTTTGGCCTTCAACTCCCAGAAATCCTAACAGCTGGTAAACTGGCTGGGATTTCTGGGAGTTGTAGGCCAAAGCACCTGGGGACCCACAGTTTGAAAACCATTGATCTAACCAGTGGACTGGTTTTAAAAAAATCCAGCTTTTCTTATGGCTGTTTAGCCTTCGATACTGCGATTCCTGGGTCTTGTCCAATCTACAATCAGTGTATGTTGTGGTCACCATCCCACCCTCCAACTGGTTCTTGTACTGTTTGTGTTGGTACCGCACAGCAGAACTTGTTTGGTTTAATCCAGTTCCAATTTGAATTATGGTGTCAGTCTAGAAACACCCTAAAACACCTGAGACCAGAATTTCACAAACATTGATTTAATGAGTCATGTGTCTGAACTGTATTATAACGTTTCATTAGCCACGTACCAAATTGGTGTGTTCAATCCAATTTGTATGTAATGACTTCTTCTCACACAACCAAATGTTTCTTCCTCCTCTTTCTGTCCTCCTGGAGCCCCTGTGGCCTCTGGCCTGCTCCAAAGGGGCCTTACACTTTCTAGAAAACATGTATTAGAAAACGTGATTTTAAAAAATAAGCTGTTCCAGTTTAAGATGAAGATTCCATTTCAAGCAATACTTTTTTGCGATTTGATCCTCAGGATTTCACGAAGCCAAATATAATTTTTGATACTGCATTATCTTGGCCATTTTGGCTACCTCTGCCTTATGTAAAGCAGTTGGCTAAATCCAGAACTGTGTTTAGTAGGTTTGGTTCATGCTGAAGGAAGTGAGTAATGAGAAAACCTTCACGATTCCTTTGTTCTGTACATCATGGAAGGCTAGAAAATTGAAGGACACTCCAGAGCAGCATGAGAAGGACATGGGAAATGGGGAACTGCCAAAAACTTCCTTCTCCCTCTGCTGAATTCCAGTGCTTTCTTGTAAATGGAAAGACCTCTTTCGTTCATGGAATGATTAGTGTAGCTCTGACCCAATAATTGTAATGTTCTGTGTTTGCAATATTTGTAATAGTCTAATTTTTGTCACTTCAAAATATTTTCCTCTCTCTGTTTCAGTTATTACATCATCATCTACCAGGGAATATACTGTGACCGAACCAGAAAGAGGTGGAACATCTCCTACTTACACTGTTCCCTATCAGTGGAGACAGACCATCTCATTTGATGAATGCATTCATGATGACTCCCATCATCCTGTTTCAGCCACCCAGCAACTGTCAGTGGATAGCATCTTTGTCTTGTATAACACAGATGAACAAATTTTACGATATGCAATGAGCAATTCCATTGGCCCAATTGGTATGTTCAGTGGATATTATTTTGGTGTATTGATTTCTTACTGTCCTAATCTGTTAGGAGCCTCTTTTGTTTACCTTTAAATCCATTAGCAGAGATTGGAGGTGTTTGCCTGTTCCCTTTGTTTCTCATCAACAACTATGGGGCAAAAGTACCTTGGAACATGTTTTTTATATTGAAAGATCTATGTGTATTTCATAAATTCTCTCCAAAAATCATCTAAGCTGGTGATTGCATTGTATTATAAGCCAGCAAACTGCAGAATCTGCGGCTTATACATTAAAAACAGCATGCTGGTGCACATTGTCTAGTCACTTCCTGTTTGCAGTGGAAGCAACTGAAAAAAATGAGACTTTTTTGTGTTGATTGCTTAGTGTGTTCCCAAAACGTAGATGCTTTCTTCAGTCAGGTTTCTTTTCCAAAAAAGCAGCAAAAGAATCTCTGACTTGTTAGTAAAGTAACAATTAGAAAAAAAGAAGTTGCTTTAAGCATGTTAAATATTAGGCATGTGTGATGGATTAAAAAAGTATCCAAAGTCATTACAAAATTAGGGATCGCTGGTGTTTCATATCTAAAGTGTTTTTAAAGTGTAGTTAGTAAAACGTTTGTTACTATAATGGGAGTAATGAAATTTTGTTACTTTTTAGTTAGAGTAATTGCGCAAGTGGGGAAACTTCAGTGGCTCATTTTGTCCTCATTTTTACAGCTTTGTGTGAAACTTGCTACAGTGGTAGAACATGTTTACCACTGTTAGCTCATCAAGTTTCACAACATTTCACTTATCCATCAATCTTTGGGGAAATTTCAAATTTTTTATAAACAACATTTTAAAAAAGAAAAATGACAAGAACTATCTCCCTGAATTTTCTCTACAATGATACAAGGTAACAGGGGATCATCCCCCACCCCCCAATTTTCAGAAATATTCATACATCTACTGATTTTACAGATTTTTTAAAAGTTTTGACAAAAACTTTTTTTTAAACCCACAACAGCTATCTCATTGAATGTCTTGCATATTAACCAATAGAACTTCCATCTGGGGATTTCTTCCCAGCCCAGCACAAAGATTTTTTCAATAGGATTTGAAATACATCCTATTTGGGTTTCTTCTTTCTACTGTAAGTTCAGAATGTATTCCCTGCAGATACAGGGGTCATACTGTATATCTACTGAGTCACATCATTTAGTATAGTAAAAGTACAACTGAGAGCATTATGTATATTGTTCTGCTTCTCTCATCTGTGGTCTCTTGACAGATGGATCAGGTGAAGGAAGAAGCCAGAATCCTTGCTACACGGGCACTCACGGCTGTGACACAAATGCGGTGTGTCGTCCAGGATCGGGCAATCAGTTCACCTGTGAATGTTCTGTGGGATTCCGAGGAGATGGGCGTACCTGTTATGGTATGAGCAAGTAATTGACTTCCATAGCAAATTAGTCTGAAACCCTTCTATCCAATTGGATTTTCATTTAGCTTCCGTGTCCTGCTGTTATGTTGTAAATTCTTTGTTGTGATTTCTTGGGAATATATCATTTTCAAGGCTACAAAGTCACAATGCCTATAAGATAAAATTGCAAATGCAAAAAGGCAGCTGCACTGTGTTTGTGTAGAAATAGCAATATGGTGGGATGATTTTAAAGCAGTAACCCCCATCTTGAAAATTAGAGACAAACTAGACAGAGTATTGATCATATATTATTATTGTTACCTGCTTGTTTTTTCTTTAGTGGAATCTAGAAATAAACGGAGAACTCCGTACTTAACACATTGCTCCCCATTATGATCCCTGTGTGTGTTTGTGGCTTCTGGAGCCACTATTTGTTCTGTATTCATGAAACCCTGGTCCAGAACAGGATCACAAGGGGAGCAAAAAAGTATGGGAAAGACAACTTGCATGTTTAATGTTAATATACTTTGGTCTTTTTCTCTAACAAAATAATCTTTATCCATCACACACACACACAGGTGTTAACCCAGTATCACTTTGTGGATTTATGCTAATGAATTATAGTAAAGATGGTCTCCTTAATCTTTCCTCTTTAGTCATTTATCTATTGAGAACTGCCACTAATGAGAAAAAAATATCTCGGGGATGATATTGCAATAATAGAGTAACCCCTCCCTTCTACTATTCCTGCACTCAAAGATTGTAGCCTACGGAAACTATTTTGAGTTGAAAACAAAAATCCCTGATGGGAAGTATTACCTGTAACTCCCATCACCACATAATTTAGACCTTGGCATCATCATGTTGCTAAATATGCTTTGAGTGTCTAAGAAACTATCTGGATATAAAGAATCCTATATCTTTAAGGAGAGCAAAGTCATGTATTATTATGTTCTTTATCATCTGCGCCTTGATGTACTCTTTGGCAGTTGCTTTGTTGAAACACATTTCAAATAAGGCAGGCATATATTCCATTGAGCTGAAACTATGCTACAAATATACCAGGCACTGTGTTTCAAGAACTTGTATTAGTGGCTGCTGTGTAATAACATTGCCTGTCTATATAGATATTGATGAATGCTCTGAGCAACCAACAGTGTGTGGCAGCAGTGCAAACTGTAATAACCAGCCGGGAACTTTCCGATGTGAGTGTCTAGAAGGATATCAGTTTTCAGCTGATGGACGAACATGTGTTGGTGAGTTTATTTTCAAAATCTCTATTTGTTGTTTTTAGGAACCTGAGAACCACAGAAGAAAGTACAAAAGTGCAATCTTAGAGCACCCGCCTCCCTTTGTTGGTTAATGGTCTTATTACACTGTGTGTTAAGAGAGAACTAAAGACAGAAATAAGAGTTTAAGCTTTATATTTACCTCACATTTCCCCTTAGGGAATAGCAGGAATGTCAGATCTGATCCTTCTTAATTTTGTCATGTGAATGTTTTAGCTTTGTAAACAGTTCGAGTTAGATGACTCCTGCAGACTTGCTGTGCTACATGATGCTTCGAGGTTTGGACATAATTCAGGATATACATCTGTTCTAATCTAAGCCAAGAGTTTTCTTATACCTTGCCAGAGTTCTGGTCCATCCCCTTAGATGGGTCTTGATCCCAAACTTTTGCCTGCTGCTCCAAGGGCAAATCTACACTGTAGAATCACTATAGTTTGATACTTCTTTGTCTGCTATGAGTCAGTACTATGCAACCATGGGAATTGTAGTTTGGTGAGGCACCAATGCTTGGATGAATGTGTTGCAATAGGAAAAAAAATATGAGTGGTTTCTCTCATAATCTGGAACATGTAAATAGACTCTTCCCTCCTGTTTCTGCTACAATGTTTTTAAAAATATTTGTAAAAGTCTTTCAGTCAAGTGTTGCATCAAGGCAGGATTTTAGAGTCAGAATTTCAAGGGACCCAGCTGGCAGAAGGAGATCCCTCAAATACAACAGACTGATGATTACATTTTAAAGGAACTAAGAAAGGAACTTTGTCATCTAAAGTGTGGTGCCTCTACCTATTTATTTATTTATTTATTTATTTACTCTATTTGTATACCGCATATATCAGCCTGAGGCGGCGACTCAATGCGGTTTACAATAAAAAGCAACACTAAACAATGTATGAGACACACAATACAGACAAACACATAATCATCAACGCCACACTTAGAATCAGATTCCGATCTCAAGATCCTTTTTCCATTCCTTGTCCGATGCCGTCATTATTGAGTTAGTTGCCGAAAGCCTGCTCGTAGAGCCACGTCTTCACCCTCCTCCGAAACACCAGTAACGAAGGGGCCTGCCTGATGTCCACCGGTAACGCATTCCATAGCCGAGGGGCCACCACCGAGAAGGCCCTGTCTCTCGTGCCCGCCAGCCGCACTTGTGACGCCGGCGGAACCGAGAGCAGGGCCTCCCCGGAAGATCTTAACGCTCTTCCCGGTTCGTAGGAGGAGATGCGTTCGGAGAGGTAAGTGGGGCCGGAACCGTGTAGGGCTTTATAGGCTAAAGCCAGCACCTTAAATTGTGCCCGGTAGCGAATTGGCAGCCAGTGGAGCTGGTTCAGCAGGGGGGTGGTGTGCTCCCTGAGAGCCGCTCCCGTTAGCAACCTGGCTGCCGAGCGCTGGACCATCTGAAGCTTCCGGGCAGTCTTCAAGGGCAACCCCACGTAGAGCGCGTTGCAGTAGTCTATACGGGATGTGACAAGAGCGTGGACTACCGTAGCCAAGTCCGACCTCCCAAGATACGGGCGCAGCTGGCGCACGAGCCGAAGCTGTGCAAATGCTCCTCTGGAAACCGCCGAGACTTGGGGTTCCAAGCTTAGCGAAGAATCCAGAGTCACACCCAAGCTGCGAACCTGCGTCTTCAGGGGGAGTGCGACCCCGTCCAACACAGGCTGTAACCCTATACCCTGTTCGGCCTTTCGACTGACTAGGAGTACCTCTGTCTTGTCTGGATTGAGTTTCAATTTGTTCACCCTCATCCAGTCCGACACAGCAGCCAAGCACCGGTTCAGGACCTGGACAGCCTCCTTAGTAGTAGGTGGAAAGGAGTGACAGAGCTGGACGTCATCTGCGTACAGATAACACCTCACCCCGAAACTCCGGATGATCTCTCCCAACGGCTTCATGTAGATGTTAAACAGCATGGGGGACAGAATTGAACCCTGCGGGACCCCACAAATCAATGGTTGTGAGGACGAGCAGGTGTCCCCCAACAACACCTTCTGGGTACGATCCTCTAGGAAGGACCTGAGCCACTGTAAAACAGTGCCTCCCAGGCCCATTCCCGCAAGGCGTCCCAGAAGGATACCGTGGTCGACGGTATCGAAGGCCGCTGAGAGGTCCAGCAGAACCAACAGGGACACACTCCCCCTGTCAAGTTCACGCCGGAGATCATCCACTAAGGCGACCAAGGCTGTCTCGGTACCATGTCCCGACCTAAAGCCAGACTGTGCCGGGTCCAGATAATCCGTGTCTACCAAGAATGCCTGGAGTTGTGAGGCCACCACACGTTCCATGACTTTGCCCAAAAGGGGAGATTGGAAACAGGCCGATAGTTGACGAATTGAGTGGGGTCCAGTGATGGTTTTTTCAACAGCGGTTTTATCACAGCTTGCTTTAAGCTGGATGGAATTTTGCCTTCCCGAAGGGAGGCATTAACCACCACCTTCACCCACTCGGCCAATCCCCCTCTGGCCTCCTTTAGAAGCCAGGATGGGCAGGGGTCTAGGATGCATGTGGTTGCTCTCATCCCTCCAAGCACCTCGTCCACATCCTCAGGTTTCACAAATTGAAACGAATCCATCAAAATCGGACAGACAGATGTTCTCGTCACATCCTCAGAGACTGCCGTTAACATGGTATCCAGACCTGAACGGATCAAAGCGACTTTGTCCGCAAAGAACTGAGCAAATGCTTCACAGCGGGCTGTCGAGTTGTCAGGGCTCCCATCCAAAGTGGTGGGCTTCAACAGGCCTCTGACAACTCGGAACAGCTCGGCCGGACGGTTCTTTGCGGACGCAATATTGGCCGCAAAGAAAGATACCTAATTAAGTCCAGCATCTTAAACTACTTAAGGACATTCACTGTGGTCAAACTCAATTATAATACATATTTGAAATGGAGTTCTAACATCAGTCCTTCTGGTATCTTTTAAAAAATTCAAGTTGTAGTACCATTAAGGGTCTCCTGCTCTTATTAACTAGAGAAGATTATAAGAGTGGAGTAGGATCGGTGCTTTAAGGTTGCAATAGCTATGCTGTTTTTTTCAGTAAAATCACTTCATCAGTTCAAGTGAGAGACATACAGAGGGAAAGGGAGAAGGCTTGATCAAAGAATGACATTCTGCAATATATGAAAACAATTTAAAACCATAGTTCAGTTATGGAACATGAGGCGGGTGTTGGAAGTTTTGTTTGTATCTTTGTTGGATTTGCAAAACAGCTGTATTAAACATTTCCTTCTTTGCATTTTGGTTGTTTCAACATCTGTTTGGAGGAAACTTGATATTAAAACTATAGCCAGGCATTTCCTGAATGATTTCCCCCCTCTTTTTTTCTTTAAACAGACTTGTTCAATGCACTCTTTAGATATTGGTACCACTTAGTAGACTAACACAGTCTAATGCCCTCCAGATGTATTGGAGAACAGAATACATAATCATAATCATCAGCCACATTGGCCAGGGGGATGATGGGATTTGTACTCTTTAACATAATTAGAGCAGGGGTCCTCAAACTTTTTAAGCAGAGGGAATTTTAACCGCCTCTCAGACTGTTTGGGGGAGGGGGGGCAGACTAGTTGAAAAAAAGTGAACCAGTTCCTATGCACACTGCATATATCTTATTTAAAGTACAAAATACACTGGATTATATGAGTCTACACTGCCATGTAATACATTTCAAAGCAGATAATCTGGATTTTATATGGCAGTAAAGAAGGGGTCTAAGTCTAAAATTTCGGACAGGGAAAGTGACCATGGAGGGCTGCGTCCAGCCCATGGGCCTCAGTTTGTGGACCCCTGTATTAGACGGAATAAGATTAAAGTGGGTTCTTTAAATTGGTGATCCATTGCATATTTCTCCTTGAAACTAAAGGTGCATATACACTGTATAATTGATGAAGTTAACAGCCATGAATCAATGCTGTGGAGTGATTAGAGTTGTAGTTTTACAAGGTTCTTTAGCATTCTCTACCAAAAAATGTTGTAACTTCATCAAACTACCAATACCAGGATTCCATAGCATTATGCCATGGCAGTTAAACTTCATTTATTCTATACTGTGGAGTTTGCCCAAATCCCAGTGAATTCTTTAAGTCTTTTTTCCTGCTAAATATTATTAATTTATTTAGCATTATCAATGTACATGGCAAGCAAGTATGCATTGGATTGACATCTCAGAGATGTCTATTTTAGAGGACATAGCTATTTTATAAAATATTTCATAAATATTGTTGTTTGGGTCAAGGTTTCCAGAACCCATCGGAAACTCAGGGTTCGGTTTATCATGCCAAAGTCTATTCAAGAATCAGGCCTTCTGTCTCCTTCTTCGGGGTTCAATTCGTGAGCCATAACCAGGTCTTCCTCCTTCCCTTCTGCTTTCCCCTCCCACGCAAGTGAGTGAGTGAGTAAGGGAATGTGTGCCTTCCCTCCTCTCACTCCCTTATCCCACCCTCTTCCTTCCCCTTTGTGTGTGTGTTAGCGAGTGACTGAATGAGGGAATGCACACATTTTTCCTCCCTACAATATATATGTTACAAAAAGCATCTGGAAGCAAGAATTGTATTTACTATTATGTCAATGTCTAGTTCTTTTCTATCTCTTAGATAGAAGAGAGAAGAGTTTTAAGAATGGGAAACTGCCTCTTATTGCAGAAAACGGTTAAATCATAAAGATGGTATGCAGATTAAATAGTGAAGGCTATTGGCCTTAAAAACCTCAAATGCTCTCTCTTTTTTACGACACAAATATGAGTTAGGAATAATAGAAGACTTTTCCCCTCTCAGACATGTTTTGGAGTCATTCTTAACCCCAATTCCCAAAATGTAGTATGACTGATCAGTGTGGTATTGTTCTCTGCTTGAAATTCATGAATCTGCCAACATGTTGATCTTAGAGAGTTACTGCTATGTAACTGCTATTAGCAAATTAGAATTCTGGGTCATTTGTGGCTTAGTTTTTAGCAAAGTCATAAATCATTCCCTATGTTCAGCTAGTGTCTGGGAGTTCTCAGTGTTTACATTTTCTGTGCAAATGGTTTGTTTGCAGTTGCAAATACTGTATTTACTTCTCCCCGTTGTCCTTCTATCGGCAGGATAAAACCTTTTCATTCAAGCAGACTTTTAAAGAAGATTTTTAAGATTTTAAGTCAGGGGGTAATGTGGTTTTTAGTTTTAAATATTTTTTGTGGATTTTAACTAATTTTTTTAATACTATTGATGTATAAATTCTGTTTTAATGTTTCTATATTTGTAGATTTTAAATTGTATTTTTAATGTAAGCTGCTTTGAGTCTCCTTATGGAGAGAAAAAGTGAGAAAATAATAATACCAGGTAATAATTGAAGAGAGAAAATGGGGTAATAATATTAATAATAAGCTGAACTAATGTTCTGGGAGACCCAGCAGGTTTCCCATGGAAACCTACTGGGTGACTTTGGGCAAGTCATATTGTCTAAGTGGAGGGCAATGAAGAAAACCCTCTCAATAAATCTTGAAGAAGAAGTAGTTATTTCATTTCGATTTCTCTGGCATGCTTTCAAACATTAAAATGTAATACACATGTTGAATGCCGTTACTAAAGGAGCCTACCGAAGGTTCTGATCAATTATTTCTAACTTTCATTTTGGATCCTCTCTTTTCCCTCTGTTCAAAAATGTAAAAGAAAAGGTTTCAGATCTCCTTTATGTGTGTATTTCTTTTTTGTAGCTGTTGAGCGTGTGGTCAATCATTGTGTGACAGGCACACATAATTGTGATATCCCTCAACGTGCTCGCTGCATATACTCTGGTGGGTCTTCCTTCATTTGTGCGTGTCTGCCAGGATTCGTTGGAGATGGACATTCTTGTATAGGTCAGTAATACCATTTGTTGATGTTTTATCATGTCCTTTTTGGCAGGATCTACAGCCAGCGTAGCGGTTGACCGTTGACTTTTTGGTAGTCTGTCTTCCTATGTCTTAATAAGATTGGGGCCATTTTGTGAACACTTAGCTGTTAATGTTTAAATACGTACAGTTGCTGAAGTGAACACTTTAACATTATTTATTCACTAAATTTTAATTACCCTTAATACCTGTGTTCATGGCAGTTTATCTATTTGTCAGACAGGACTCTTGTTACATGGCAATTTATGGGGGGGAAATACCCAAAATCAGGACCAAAGGCTGGGCCTGTGGGCATAGTTTTTGTAAAAGATAAATCTTATCATAATAAATAAATAGTTTTGATTTTTTTTATAGATACAGATGAATGTGAGCTGAGCCGTTGTCATCCAGATGCCTTCTGCTATAATACACAAGGATCCTTCACCTGTCAGTGTAAGGCAGGCTATCGTGGGGATGGTTTCCAGTGTGTGCGAGGAGGAGGTAAACTTTTACTGATTGGGGTTTCTTATCTAAAATGCTTAGGACCAGAAGTATTTTGGGTATCATTGGGAGGGGGGGATTTGTAGGATTGGAGGAAAGTATTGGATTTTAGAATCCATGTATTTGCATATAGAGTAAGCTCTCCACATTTTCTGGGGTTAGGGGCACACAACTCCCAAAAAAGTGAAAAACCGTAAATAAAATAATGCTAGTCTTTTTACCTGCAGGACACCTTTTAGGAATCTATAATAATAATAATAATAATAATAACAACAACAACAACAACAACAACAACAACAACAACTACTACTACTACTACTACTACTACTACTACTTTATTTATAATGTGTCCTCTCTCCCCAAAGGGATTCAGGGCGGCTTACAAAGACAAAAACAAAATAGAAATAGATACCAGTAAAAAACAATTAAAACAAGAAATTGAAAATTCACAAATAACGCAATAATTGTTAAACTAGGTGATAAGTTTCGTAAATAACATAGTGAATTAATAGACTCAACATGAGAAATGAATAGTAAAATCGTGGCTGTGCAATGAGTTAGGGCAATATGTTCTCAGTCAGACTCTAGCACACTGCTTTTTAAATTGTGGGTCCCGACCTCAAATGGGGTCCCCTCAGATCAATGTTGGGGTCTTGAAAAAACATTCAGAACATCATCTAGTTGCTGCTTTGGATGTTTATGTGACTCTGTTGTGCAGCTTTTACAGTGAACCCTCCAGAAGATGCTTCAGCTGTACTTCATAAGACAAAATTTAAGCCTGTTTAGCAAGCATGGCAAATGCCATTTTGTTGTCATTATATGTTTGAGTTTTATACCTATTTTATATACCTATGTATCCTGAGGTCACGTAAACATTTATCAAACCAAAAGGGGTCTAGAGTGGAAAAAACTTTAAAAGCCCTGCTGTAGCACAACTGTATGGTCACCTTCCTCAAATTACTGCTGAGTGGATCTTGTCTGGCAGTTGCAATGGTGGAGGCGTCATTGTTTAATTCTATACAAGGAAAGCATGTGCCCGTGATGTTTTGTGTCATGGCTGTGAGTCACATTTCTGCAGAAAAGTGGGATATGAAACAGATCAAATAAAATGAGATGTCTATGTGAGAAGGCAGAAGAAATTTAACCTCAGTTTGTACCCCTTTGTGAACAATGAAAGCCATGAAATGCCTGATTGCAATGGCAGGGAAATCTTCTGAAGCAATATATAGTGGGTTGTAGGATTCCACGTGATAATCAGTAAGCCCATTTGTTTCTTGGTCTACCACTACAGAAGCAAGATGCAAGCAAAAAACTTCTCTCATTCAGGATTAGGTATTCAGATAACACTGACTGCTCTTTTTTTTTTCCACCCATGACATTCATACATATTTGTTATTATCAGCGAGTAGTCAGTTATTCAGGTGCTTCAGGTCAGACCTAGGTTGACTTTTACTGGTTCAATATAACTTCTACTTATATGCCCGAGCTTGGCAAATTTTGCCTATGAGTTGTAGCCCTTCCCAAAACGTTGCCAAGCTGTGTTACATATCACTGTCCAAACTGAGCTTGAGTACTGATTTAGCAAAGAACTAGATCCGTGGCTGGCAAGATTGGCTGTTAGTTCCTTTCCGTGCTTTGATGGTGTGAAAATGGGAAGCCTTATTGCACAGCAGCCTAACAGCTTTTCTGTCTCAGTGAACAAATTAAAACATGTTTCTGTCTGTTCCAACATGTTTTTCCTTGTATGTAGTTAAGCAATAGAGTGTTGTGCTTTGGCCAGGAAAAGAGGCAGCCAGCTCTTCCTAAATTATGGGGCTGTTTTGATTCCAGTTATTGCAGACCTTTAGGACTATGTTTTACGTCTTTGTTACCAGTTCATTTTGAATATTAATGCAAATGTTCTAAATAATACTTCAAATTTTTGAACTAGAGGATTTCTTTTATGAATACAACTATTATTTTTCTGTAACAGCTGTGAAAATAGACTGGAATTTTAGTATATATTCAGCACATAGACGTTTGTTAACAAAAGAGTTAAGCAGTGACATTCCAGCAGCTATTAAGAATGTCTGTACTTCATTATTCCCTCACGCTCCATTGTTTCATTTCAAAAAGAAACAGATGTCCAAATCTTGTCACCCATTCATGTCCCATTGGCTGTGTTTACCAAACAGAAATAAACCCAGACGGTCTGGCTAGGGTCTGTGGCCACTAAAAATCATTTGCCAAAATGGTTAATATGTGCAATCCACGAGAAACCAATTGCGGCAGAAGCCTGTACCATAACTGAATCTGTTGCACCAGAAATGGAAAAATGCATCCCTAACTCCTTGTAAGTTTGTAACTTTTTTTCCAAACTGCCACCACCACATTATGGTAATTCCATTATGTGTAACAGTTTCCACTTCATGGCAAATTATAACAATACTAGTTATTATAACTTGGACACAATTACCTGGATACATGTCGCCTTTTTTGGCAGGGTTTGATGGTGTTGAATATCAAAGAGAGTAGGTTGGATGTTTTAAACCTGTAAGATCAGCAGTAACCTAAGAAGTTGCTTTTGTAAATATATATATATCTTAGGAACCCCTAGTCCAGCTCTGGGATGTTGTTGCAGTTCTCAAGCCTCACAAGTTAACTGAAAGAGGTTCTCCTGCTGGGCCAGTGCTTGCCCTCCTCTGCTCCACTGCAAGCTCATTTTGATCAAACCTTTGGTGTAAAACCCCTTTGATATCATTTAATGAGCAAAGTTTTTACTGACCCATATGATCACTAATTTCTGATATGGAAGAACTTTGGGTGGCACCTTGATTACAGTCTACTTACAGTGGGATTGTGTAACATCAAAATGAAATAGAAAATAAACACTCATAATTGTTCCTTTTCCTTCTATATATTTTTTTTTATTTCCAGAACTAGAAAAAACAAAATGTCAACGAGAACAAGAACAATTTGTGGCTTTTGGACCAAGAGGACCCAGGCCAGTTGGCCAGTTTATTCCTCAGTGTGATGTCTATGGGAATTATTTGCCAACCCAGTGCCATTCCAGCACTGGATATTGTTGGTGTGTAGACAGAGACGGTAATGAAATTGATGGAACCAGGAGTGGCCCAGGAATCCAACCCCCTTGTAAGTAGCACTGTTTCTTCATTTAGATTGTGATTTTATTGGATTGCAAGCCTCTCATATTGCCCTTTCCCATTCTTTGCTGGGGACATAGATTATCCATGTTAATAAGCAATGCTGAAAGTGTTGGCATAACCAAATACAAAATCTAGAAGTATTACCAGTCCATAAACATTCTTACTAGCCTGCTTGCCTATAGAAAGATTGTCATTTGAGGCAAGAAATAAAGACACTAACAAGCTCGAGAGCTTTTTTATTCACCCTTTTTTTATCTGACAAAGTAACCAAGCAAGTGTTTATAGGCCTGACCTGACTGCAGTGCTTTCATCCCATAGACAGTGACATTAATTTGACAGAAGAATATTTATGATGTACAGTTTTCTTCCACTGTCACTTTGTATTTCCAGTGGTGGAATGATGACCATGTTAGGACTTTCAGATAAGCAGGTGGAAGAAAGTGTAAGGATGGAAGGAATATTGGAGCACTTTTAAGACTAACTGGGCTTTCATAGATATAAGCCCATTGATTTAGTTACACTATAGAATTATTTTCTAGATATTTTCAATTGGATGTATGACCTAGCCTTGAAATTGTCTCATTCACTCTAATTGGTGAACATCTTACTTGCAGGTTCTGGATTCTCCAATTGCAGAATTGACTGCCTATGTTTTCTGTTGTTTGTCAATAAGGTCTTGGCACAGCTGAACCTCCTGTTGTAGTTGGTCCCTCCGTAAAACCAGATACGATTCGTCTGCCTCCAGGAACACACTTACTGATTGCCCAGAGTGGAAGGATTGACCATGTCCCCTTAGAGGGAAATGATATGAGGAAGCAAGATGCAAAGGCTTTGCTGTATGTTCCAGTAAGTATTCATTGAACATGACGTGACCATTTGCTTCAGTAAAAATAGAAGATTTTTTTTTACTGAAGAGTTATTAAGGAAACTTATAACTTGGCACCTTGTGAATTGAGGGCAGTTAATTTTATCTACTGTTGTTTTAAAATTATATTATTTTGATTGTATGCTACACAAGCTTACCCGCCACGCATTGCTGTGGCCAACATTCCCTCCCCCCCCTCTTTCTTTCTTTCTTTCTTTCTTTCTTTCTTTCTTTCTCTCCTTTCKTCCCCCGCCCTTCCTCCATTCCTACCTTTTTTCTTTCCTTCTCTCCTTCCTTCTCTATCTCTTTCCTTCCTTCTCCCCTTTTTCTTTCCTTTCTACTTTCTCTCTTTTCTTCCTTTTCTGCCTCTTTCCTTTCTTCCTTCCTTTTCTCTTTGCTTCCATCCTTCCTATTTCTTTCCCTCCCTCTTTCATTCCTTCCCTTTTTTCTTTTCTTCTCTACCTCTTGCCTGGGTACTGTTGGGAAGGGAGCCTTGCAGCCCTCAGCCTTGCTGGGCCTGGCATGGGAGAGGCGGGAGGTGCTTTTCGAAGCGGGCCTCATTCACCTGGCACCAGTCTCCTCCTTTCTGCCATGGCTGCAAGGCGCCTTCCCGCCTGTTTGGTGAAGATGAAAGGCGCCCTGTTTTCTGCGGCAGAAAAAAGGTGCCAGTCCTGGGCAAGCAAGGCCCACCTTGAAAAGTGCCTCCCACCCATGCCGGGCCTAGCAAGGCTGAGGGCTGCAAGGCTCCCTTCCCGTCGATGCCCAGGCAAGGGAAGGTGAAGACTGGAGAGTGGCACCCACACGGAGCAGCTGCCTGCCTGCCCACCTCACCAGGGGGAAAAGAAGAAAGAGTCCCTGTTTTGCGGGGCCGACAAGGAAAGGACGGAGACTGGGAGGGAGGTAAGGAAAGTCCACGCGATGCCCCGGTGGAGGAGGGTAGGCCCAAAGGGAAGGAAGGGGCCCCATGGGGGTTGCTGGTGGGAGAGAAAGGGGGAGACCCCAAATTGGTGGCCTGGGGAGGCTGAGGGTCTGCCTGCCCAGCCCATTAGAGCCTTCAATGCTCCCTGCAGCTGTTTTTCCCCCCTTCATGTAGGAGGGGACAGAGCCAGGGGAGTCATTTTTGTGCATGCACTGTACCTTGTTTTATCATTTTTGGATTTTAAAGTTCCTTTTGTTGGTTTTTTTGGTGGTTTTTTGAGTGATGGTCACTCATTCGGTTGTTAGGTGTATTCTGTCCAAATTTGATGTTAGTTGGTCCAGTGGTTTTTGGGTTATGTTAATCCCACAAACGAACATTACATTTTTATTTATATAGATGTGTTGACGGGGGATGTTGCTTTAATTTTATGTGACTTGTTTTATACTTTTGTACTGTTTTTACCTGTTTGTTGTATGTTATATGTGCACCTTGGAGTGCCTTGTCTTCGTGTTGCACAATATTTTTTTTACAACTTTTCTTCCTTCTGGGATAGGATTTACAAAGCTGTTATAAATAAATTTTGGTTTCCTAAGCATGTCAGAATCACCCATAAAAATTCCAATGCTTGTAAATAAAATTAGAGACTTGGATTTTAATGACACATACCAACAATTAAACTTTAAAACTTTCTGTGGTTTTTAATGTCTTCCATGGAGCTCTCCATCTTTCTTTACTTGATGCTGTCTTTTCCTACTTTATAAAATAAAATCTTCAATAATTTCTTCCACTCTAGTCAGTCTCCTATATTCTTCTGTATGTTTCTTTTCTAGCTCCTTCTCTATGCCTGGCCTGAATGAGTAAGTATCTCATTTTCCAACTGTCACCTTTCCTTGCATTTCTGCTTTCTCTGTAATGACCACCTCACATTTTTAATTTGGTTGTACACTTTAATCTTATTAGTACATCTTTATTGGTGCCCAAGTGCTTTCCTTTTTATTTTTGAAAAATGCATTTGGCCAAAGTATAGCAAGGGATATCTGCTGATGAAATTTATTTACTTTATTATTTATTTACTTTATTTGTATACCGCACTATCTCAGCCCGTAGGCGACTCAGTGCGGTTTACAACAGGTCAATATACAAAGTGCACAGCATTAGCATTAACATTTACACAGTACTAAAGCAATTAAAACAATACAACAGTGCATCAATAAATCAACATAACATAACATCAACATGACATCAATTATTTCTGTCAGCAGAAATCAATAGGAAAAACAGCCTCTCCTGTTAAATACAGCCCCCTGGGTTCCCCAAAAACGTATTCTGTGAGGCAGAAAACCCCTCCAGAACAGATGCTCAGGTGTGTCAACGTACCAGAGTGAAGAATCCCATCTAGATCATGGAACTCATTTTTAGAAGTAATTAAAATTCAAGTAAACACAAGGCATAACATAGGTGATAAAACATATGGAGCAATCTACTAGTGGATTCAAACCTTTCTTTTGCTCATATGTGATCTATTCTAGCCTGCTACAGTGCTTTCTATAGCTGAAACATAGCTTGATAGTGAATTGTAGAATTCTGAAATTGGAAATGATCCTCAAGAGTCATCTAGTCTAGAGCCTCTTAAACCTTTTCAACTTGTGACCCTTTGTGCCCAATAAACTTTTATATAAACCCAGGTATATATAAATATATAAAACAGATATAAAATTAAATGTTTACTGATAATAAATCAGCATTTACAAGGCTTGTTAAACAGACTGATTTTCCTTTTTATGAAGTACAGCCAAAGCATTTTCTGCAGAGTAAATACTGCACGTTGATGCTGACAGATTTGTGTAAATGTCTAGGGGACATTCAGAAATCTTTTACTGTTCCAACTTCTTTGCAACCTCAACATTGTGCTAAGGGGACCCATTTGGGGTCAGGATCCACAGATAAAGAAGTAGTGATCTAGTCCAACTTCTTCCAGTGTACAAAATCTATGATAAAGCATTCTTTCAGAAGGTTATTCAACCTATATTTCAAAACCTCCAGTGTAGGAATGCCCACCATCTTCCAATGCAGGTTAGGTCACCATTGAGCAACCCTTACTGTCAGAAATTAAAAAAAAAACCCTCTATATTGTGCATATTAGTGATATAGTACTTTGAGATTGGATCGAAAGAACTGATAGTAGGTGGAAAACAGTTACTAGTGTTGTTCTATAAAAATAGTTACCAAGTCCACATGAGTCATATAGCTTCCAATTGTGGCAGTTGTGCTCATAAGCAATATGTCATTTAGTTTCTTGTTTAACATACCATACTATCGTATGAATGATAAAGCAACCTTGACTCCAGCCTTGCAGTTCTTTGTGCTACTTCAGATTATTTTCAGTTGACTTTAAGCCTTTTGGTTTAAAAGTTGTTCTTTTCCTCTTTGACTTGAACTGATTTGTTTTTTCTCTCTTTGTCATGACCAGCTTATATTATGAATGCTTCCCCCCCTTTAATATCCACTCTATAATTTTACCTAAGTGTTTTAACCAGTTTAACTTTTAAGCATGTCTTCTTGAATTAGACATGTAACATGTTTTGAGACTGTTAATAGTCTTTCTAACTTGCAGGATAAAGTTGTTATTGGAGTTGCTTATGACTGCTTAGAGAAAATGGTTTATTGGACTGATATCAGCAGTCCATCAATCAGTAGAGCCAGTCTGGGCGGAGGAGAGCCAGTAGCCATCATAAAGACAGGTAAGGCCATACATGTTTCTTCACAACATTGGACTATTCAGTAAGACCCTTGTATCAACAGGAGATATATTCATGGATTTCCATAGATATGTGAAACCAAGTCCTTTTGAAATTAATAAATGTCAATAGGAAAATAATAAAGGCACCCATGCAGCCAGGCCAGCAAAACAACCAGGAGGTGTCTATGGACAACATGCTCCTTGATTGGAAATGGAACAAGAGGTGGGGGTTGAGCACCGCCTCCAGAAAGCTGGAGATGAAAGGGGAAGCCTTTGTTCTGTGTATTTGTATGTCATTGTTATTCCACTGTATTAAGGCACTGAATACCTATCTGTATGTTATAATCCAGTCTGAGTCCCTCTGGGAAGATAGAGTGGAATATAAATAAAGTGTATTATTATTATTATTATTATTATTATTATTATTATTATTATTATTATTATCTAAGCACTTCCAGATCATGAATACCACAAAGCTGCACTGGAGGACCTAGAAAATGCCTAGGGAGTACATAGTGTGTCAGAAATTGATTTTGTGTGTGTGTGTGTGTGTCAGGAGCAATTTGAGAAACTGCAAGTAACTTCTGGTGTGAGAGAATTAGCTGTCTGCAAGGATGTTGCCCAGATGTTTTATCATCCTGTGGGAGGCTTCTCTCATGTCCTCACATGTGAAGCTGGAGCTGACAGACAGGAGTTCACCGCGCATCCCAGATTTAAACCGCCAACCTTTTGGTCAGCAGTCCTGCCGGCACAAGGGTTTAACCCATTGTGCCACCGGTGGCTCTGTCAGAAATTGATAAATCAACCTGTGTTTCATAAATATCTGTCTTTCTACCAGCAATGGCTTCTACCAGCAGAACAGGATGAAAAAGATTGTAGGCCACCCTTCAGTTCTATTCTGGAGCAGTGAATGGGTGAGGAGTGACCAAAGGTTGCTTCACTGTCAGTTGAATATATTTAGCCATGGATAATTGTAAACTCAGCTATTATTAAATAGAAATAAATGCATGATCTAAAATGCTTTTAGGAATCAAGAGGGCATTTTAGATACAATGTGGGATGAAACAACTTTACTAAGGCAATTTTTTTGTTCCTAACTTGAATATTTTATCACACTGCAGAAATATTTGTGTTTATGAATTTAAAATTGTAGTGATAGTGTTTTTACAGTACATAGTTGAATTGCTTTGTGTTCTGTAATATGGCCCCTTCCTGCTATCATCTGCTTTTTCTGCTGCCTTGCTTATGAGCTTCCTAAATTCCTTCCATGAGCTTCCCAAATTCCACAGCTGCAGAGGCAACTCCACAGGGAGAAATGTTTCTCCTTTCCTGAACTGGATTAGTTGAATGAAGCTGCATAATCCTTCCTGTTGCAAGATTCTGAGTCTCCAACTCTATCCAGACGGTGTTGCAGTAGCACTAATAATGTGCACAAAATTAGGTTTGAAGATGACCAAGCGATGCTTACAGCATGCATTGTGCAGCCCCAAGTATCCAGAATGGCCTGTGTTTATGTCTGGCTGCTTTTCGCCAGTCTGGAAAAACATTTTACTCTATCCGCTCTGCTACATCAACTCGCCTGACTGATGGCTTGAAAGCAAAAGACAGCAAAGGAATACTAGATTGTTCTGCTTTGCTCAAGGCACCTATCTTTCTTTTGAAAGAAATCTGCAAATACTTGAAACCAGGACTCCTGGCGATACAACACTAATGGATGGAAGCTTCTGTTGCGGGTTGTTTTAAAATAAAAAATAAATTTAGGCTCTGCATTTGGAAAGAAAGCTGGAGCCCACTCTTTAGAGAAGAGCTTTTGGCTTTAAGCAAATCTCCTGGCTTTATATAGCATTTTTGTTGTTTTCTATTGTAATTTCACACAGAGAGAGAGATAGCAAAAAATTAAAAAAAATCACCACAGGGCTGTTAACCCTTCCCTTCTTTTATCCAGAGCTTAAAAAACGCTTTTTGGCTAGAATTGCATTTCAAAATGTACCTATTCTGACTTACATACAAATTCAACTTCAGAACAAACCTACCTTCCTAACTTGGGGACTGCCTGTATGTATCTAGACTCTTGCATATTCACATTGATCACATGTGTGTCTCTGTACATACACGTGTCTATGAATTATTGTATAACGTGTTCTATACAAATCTTAGGGATTTTATAATTTTGGACTAGAATTCCCAAAACATCCCAGTCAGTGACTTTTCTTTCCGTGTCAGGAGCGACTTGAGAAACTGCAAGTCGCTTCTGATATGAGAGAATTAGCCGTCTGCAAGGACATTGCCCAGGGGACCGGATGTTTTGATGTGCTACCATCCTTCTCATGTCCCTGCATGGGGAGCCAGTGCTGACACAGGGAGCTCATCCACGCTCTTCCTCGATTCAAACCTGCAATCTGTCGGTATTCAATACTGGCGGCAGAAGGGTTTAACCCACTGAGCCACTGGGGGCTCCTTAGCATGGTGACTCAGGCTGGATCTACACTGCCTTATATCCCAGGATCTGATCCCAGATTATCTGTTTATCCAAGATTATCTGGCAGTGTAGACTCATATAATTCAGTTCAAAAATGATAATTGAGATCAGATCCTGGGATACAGGGCAGTATAGATCCAGCCTAGGTCAACATTTAAGCTCTGGTCTCTATCTAACACAGCTGCATATGCACACACACATAAGTGTGGAGATTGTGTGTATAAAATAAATTTTATGTACTATTTAGTGTAAATGAAGTTGTGAACAGTTTGTCTCTTAAAGTGTCGAAGAACTGAGAAAAAGTTTTTTCTCCAGTCATATTTTTTCCTCGTAGAAGACAACATCACATACATTTAAACTTATACAAGATTTTTAAAACCTTGTATTTCTCAATTGTTTTTTGAGCTCAGCTAATCCCTGGGGCCAGTGTAGTAGGTCATTATCTGCAGTTTCCTGTTGTTTAGACCTGGTCACCATCCAAGAAAAACTGTGCACATATATTTCTCAAGATTGTTCCAGACTTTAATGTGTTCTCCATGACCATTAAGTCTAAATCTGCTCTTGTTATTGTTTTTTAAAACTTGGTTACTCTTTATAAATGCTTTTTAGAAATAGATCTAATTATAATTCATGATCTGTTTTCCAAAAATATGTAATAATTTCTTTGCTGTTTTTTATCCACATACTTCAAATATTTGCCAGTTTACTCAAATTCTTAACTGTTCTATTTTCTAAGATAGTGAATGCTGTGGTATATAATAGCAGCTTTGTCTTTTGAAACCAGTGCTTCTCATAGCATGTGCCATATGCATATATTCAAATTGACCCAGGCCTTTTTAGATTTTTGCTGGATGGCTGTACTGGGTTAGCCAGTGCCTCAAGCCTCTAGCGAGGAGTCAGGGGATGAGTTGCCTCCGGAGACTTTTCATAGCCATGACCAGGAGGGAATTCCAGACCTAAATCTGGACATAGCCTTTGCTCAGAGTCAGAGGCACCAGAGGAGGGTGGAAATGTGGCAACACTTTAGCCTGCAGAGGCAGAACAGGAGTAAACTCAGGGTCAGGGTTTATCTCTACTCTGTAACCAACCAAGAGATGCTCCTGAGCATACCCCAAGCTCACCTAAGTCACTAAAAGAGCAGAGGTGACAGAGGCTAAGGTTTGCTTTAAAGGAAAGGCATAGAAGTGCTCGGTTAGCTGCAAGGGATCAGCAGAGAGGAACTGCCAAAATGCAGTCAGGATCCAGCCCATAGCTTGCTTTCTTACTATAAAGCAGCAGTAAAAGCTATGGGCCAGTTGTGAGAGCAACTTGCATTTGAGTTGTACCCACTATTTGTATTTTGCTGAGAGTTTCCAGACCTTGACCTCTGTTTTGGATTATCGGTGACCTGTTTGCTCCAGCCTTGTGCATTTGAGTTTTAGACTACTCTCTATCTGATTAATCCTTGGACTTGTCATAGTGACTTTGGTGAATTCGTATTCTTGTACCTTGGTGTGGCTGTTAATTGACTATTGGTCGTTGGAACATCTAATATTTGGGGTTAGCCAGCACAATGGCAGAACAGAAAGAGGCTGAAGTATATGCCAGTTGCTGGGGCTAATTCCTTCCTAAAACCCCTTAATACATTTGATAATAAATGTTAGAAGATGGTTGTAGAAATCTTTAAACTACGGCTATGCCTGGTTCATGCTGTACACAAGCATGTGGACAAGTTCAACAGAAAGGAAGAAACCATGAAAATGAACAAAATCTGGCTACAAGTATGAAAAAACTCTAAAATTATAACAGTAAATAAAGAAAAACACTCAAACACAGGGGAACTCCAGACAAGAAACAATCAGGGGCAGCTAATCACCTCTAAACAAAGGATTCCACCAGGCAGTAACAAGCAACACCTGAAAACTGTCAGGCCATCAAATGCTAATCAAGGTGGCCAGTTGAAACATTCACACCTCCCTCCAACAGACAAAAGTTATTTCTCCCACCCTGGATTTTCCACAGATATATAAACCCAATTTTCCTAGTTTCCAACAGACTGAGGATGCCTGTCACAGATGCAGGCAAAATGTCAGGAGAGAATGCTTCTAGAGCATGGCCATATAGCCCGAAAAACCTACAACAACCAGTGACTCTGGCCATGAAAGGCTTTGACAATACATTCATGCTGTACAGTTCAGCAACATTTTTTCAGAAGTTCAAAATGCTTAAGATCTGCACGAGCAATATGTTTTCCTGCAGGAATACGCCATCAGTGCCCTTGAAACCTTTCTGTCAACAAATTCTTACTATCAAGTATTGGCACATCTCTTCCACATCTAATTTGGTGACTCTTGGGAAGAATTGCATTTGGGTGTTCATGTCTTTAATTTTATTTGTCTTTAATGAGATATGGTTTTTATTTGCCATTTCTTACATTTATTGTTGGTGTTGACTGCTGTCAAGTTGACCTCAATGTGGCACTCTACCCTCAAACAGCTCTGTTCAGGTCATTCAGATTTAGGATTCCTTGATTGAATCTGTCCATCAGAAATGTGGTCTTTCATTCTTTCCCCCTGCTTTCTGTCCTTATTCTCTTTTTGTCTCATGATGTGGCCAAAGTGTGACAGTCTCGATTTAGTCATCTTGGCTTTTAGGGAAAGAATAGGGTAGATGTTTACGAGCTGGTAAGCAAAACTGAAATGCATCATTTTGTCTGATTTTAATCCTTTTCCTCCAGAGAGAAGGATAATATAATCTAAGTGAATGCTTTAGGATTTCAGTTCTTTGTTCTTCTTTGTTTTCCAGATTTGGAAAGTCCTGAAGGAATAGCTCTTGATTACCTTGGCCGCACCATTTTCTGGACGGATTCTCAGCTTGACAGAATAGAGGTAGCAAGGGTAGATGGCACCCAGCGCCGAATACTGTTTGACACCGATCTTGTAAACCCTAGAGCCATAGTAGCAGATCCTATGAGAGGGTAAGTCAATGCTTTTTAACACATGTTATTTTAAGAACACATCCATTGATTGTCCTCTTGATTTCAGTGTCTTTCCCCAATTTTTTCACATACTAATGTTAATGTAAAATATCCCAAGGTATTGCCTTGGGATAGTAATAGCGCTGGTTTTAAAAATATGGGAAAATTAATAAGATTGTTACTGATTGCCAATCATTTAGCGCTTTATATCTGCATTCTGTGCATTCAGCTGGGCTGCTATATTGATTACATTGATCTTTTAACTGATTCTATTTTATTCTGTTGTTTTATCCAGTTTATATATCTGGTTCATGTGTATTATTCTTTTCATGTTGATGCATTTTTTATGTATGGCATTTGTGTGCTATTTTGTAAGCTGCTCCAAGTCCCTATGGGAAATGGTGGCAGGGTGTAAATAAATTATTATTATTATTATTATTATTATTATTATTATTATTATTAATTATCATTATCATTATCATTATTATATTATCCCACTCCTGCTGTTACCAGGGCCATTAGTGGCATATGTTGTCTTTTTGCTGCTTTAGAGCTATGTTCTAAATCCAGAGGCAATTTTCTACAGGATCGATATCTTTGAAGCTGTTTAGGGAGATAATCTCAGGAACAACTGAATATTGGTTCAACATTCAGTGTGTGTGTGTGTGTGTATTTTTCTGCTGTCCTAATCAGAATGTTCTTTTGCCTGGGAATCTTTATTTCAGAAATCTTTATTGGACAGACTGGAACAGAGAGGCCCCTAAAATTGAAACGTCATACATGGATGGCACAAACAGAAGGATTCTTGTCAGAGATGATTTGGGGCTACCTAATGGGCTGACATTTGACACTTACTCTTCACTGTTGTGCTGGGTGGATGCAGGTAAAGGACTGTCTACACTGTTAGATGAACTCAATTGAACTTTTCACTCTAAAAATGCAACAGAGATTTTCTTAAAAGGTGATGGTGATTATTCATTTTTCATTGTCCTGTTTCGTTCAGGGCCTGTCTACCCAGGCCACAGAAGTCAATGCTGATCTGGAATGGGGTATGCTGAGCTTGGCAGCTAGCAAGTGTCTGCATTGCTTGGCACCAAGCCATCCAGGCAGCTGGTTGGATCCACCAAACTTGCCTTCCCCTTCTCATCCTTGGCTTAGTGCTGACCACAGAGCACAAAACTGCCAGTGGCCATTGTCAGAAATATTAAAAATGAACTAGGTATTTTTAATTACAAAAATGTGAGTAAAGCACTGAAAGGGTTAAATGGTTGCAATGACTCAGCAAAAACTGCAGTTCAATATAAGCAGATGTGCCTGTAGCTTAGTAGCCTCAGTTTGTGAGAGATCTACATGGGAGAAGGACCTCAGTGTGTTAGCAAGCCTCAGTATGAGTAGGCCTCAGTTCGCCTCAGAGTATGAGAGGCATCAATCTGAGAGAGCCCTCAGTGGGAGAAAGGCTTCGGTGTAAGGTAGGCCTCAGTTTGAATAGGGATTGAGGAGCTTTGATGAGAGAAGCCCCAAGTTGAAAGTCATCAGGTGTGAAGGCTGCTGTGTGTAAAAAGCTACTGTGTGAAGCTCTTGTGTAACTTCCATGTGAGAGGAGGCTCAGTGAGAGTGAAGCTGTTTATCTGCATGAGAAAAAAGCCCAGCGTGGAAGCAAAGAAAGAAGTGTAAATAACTTTCTTTGTGTTATGGACTCCTTGTTCTTGTAAATAGTGCAACCATATTATTTTGCTATAAAGAAAAGCCTCCTATGGAAGAGATAACATTGGTCAGTGTGTTTTTGTTCTTTTATCATTTTTGGCTACTGGTGCTGGGTCACACTGCTGTTGATAAATTACTGTGCTGTGCATTTATGGAGAGAGTCTTTTGTTAATACGCCCACTCACCTAACAACCATTGCTCGTCACATTCATTGATATCAACTGGAGTGATGACATGACATGAAAGAAGGGAGGGGGAAAGGAAGAATCACTTTTTCATGCAAAAGGGTCTTAAGTTGAATCTCTGCCGTCTCCTTGGAAGGACTACTATCTGAAACCCCAGAGAGCTGCTGCTAATCCCTGTTTATGATAATTTTGCTAGATGAACCTCTGGTTGATTCAGTGTGTGGTCACTTCCTGTGTTCCTAAGCATGTCTACAAAGGGCCTTTACATCAAGGATGGTTTGTACACTGGATTTCTGTATCCAGTGCAAAACAGTGCACAACAGAGTTCAAAAACTGGGACTGTTCATCACATAAATGATTGCCTTGAAGAAATGTTGAGTTGGCATGGATCAGCATAGTAGAAACTTAAAGCTGACCACATTACCATACATATTCCTTTTCTTCCGTCACTGTGCTCTTTATTCTACAAAAGGACTATTTGTCACATACAAAGACCAAATTGTTTTATTGCATGCAGGCACTAAAAGGCTTGAATGTATGGATCCCAATCAACTTGGTCGGCGAAAGATCCTTGAAGGAATCCAGTATCCTTTCAGCATCACAAGTTATGGGAAGAATTTGTTTTATACAGACTGGAAAAGGTAGAATGATAAAAAGCACTTAAGCCTCCTTAACCCTGCTTTGATCTTGTTGAAACTTTACGTGATTCACTCTTGAGGCAAATAACCTCAAATTTGCTATGTAGGAGATGCTTTCCTTTAAAAATGCATTCATTTCTCCAGATCATGTAAATATGCAGTAAAAAGCCGGCCATCTGAAGCCCTTCTTCATCTTCATAGTCAATACATAGAAGTTTAATCATTAGAAAAAAATACCTGAAGTTTAGTTAGCACACTGACAGCTAATGATTTTAAACTTTATGAATGGCTGCAAACTTCAAACTACCGGAAAGCAGATTCCACCTGAACATTAGGAAGAATTTCCTAACTGAGAGCTGTTTAGCAGTGGAACTCTCTGCCCTGGAGTGTAGTGGAGGCTCCTTCTTTGGATGGCCATCTATTGGGGGTGCTTTGAATGCAATTTTCCTGCTTCTTGGCAGGGGGTTGAACTGGATGGCCCACAAGGTCTCTTCCAACTCTAGGATTCTGTGATCTTTCAGGACAAAGTTAAACAATTTGCTTTGAAACTGCAAATTCTAATACATTGAAAACAAGAGTTGGAAGTAAATCAACACTTAAACATAGAGTCACATTTACACAGCAGAACATATGTATAAGCATATATAGCTGTGCCAGTAGTACCCTTTGGATAAAAGCTTCATCGGAGAACTCAACATCTGCGCCATTAGCAGACATCATCTGTTTATGGTCAGTAATAAAAGCAGCGGGAAAAGTTACATTGAGTCTCTATAGTCTCATAAGCAGAAAATTGATCTTTTAACTTCAGCAAAATGTGTACATGTAGTGCTAGATGCTTCCATGCACTCATATTCTTGGCTTGAAGTGGTGTGACTGAAGAATAGACAATAATCCAGAAAACCCTTTAATCATATTTTCTGCTTTAAGTCTGGATGTCTCATATCTAAATATTCTCAAGATGTGCTGTTATACTAGCAAACATAAAACAGGCCGTGAAAACAGGATTGGCTCCAGTGCCTCATTTCATAAGGAAGATGGTCGAAAATTGGAAACATCTTCAATTTATGGAATAGAATATAACTGAAACCTCAACATGAACTAAGAAGAACATCCACATTTTTATTGGAAAGACATAGATGGTTGAAGCAACTGACTGTGATTATTTCCACTGGGAGTTGTACAGCGTGTTCTAATCATAGCCTAATCCTGAAATACTAACTTGTGCAAGTTAATGTCTTGTAGACGTCAGGTCTTTCTTAGTAGGGAGGCTCTGTATAGAAGACAGTGTAGCCTATTTCTAACAGTGTTTCTGTTGCTGTTTTTTTGCTGTTGTTCTTACTTGTTTTACTGGTTTCGTGCACTAGAGATGCTGTAGTAGCCGTGGATCGCACAGTGCCAGAGGAGAATGATGACTTTCAGCCCCCCAAGCGCACCCGTATTTATGGAATAACTACGGCTTTGGCTCAGTGCCCTCAAGGTAATTTTAGATTCCATTTTTATATAAACAGCTTCAGAATTTGAAACTGAGCAAAGAGGATTTTCCCATGTTTTCAGAAACTTGCTTCAGGCATAGCCAGAATCCTGAAAGATGGAGTTTGAAGTTGCCAGGTGTAGAATTTTGAGATACAAAATAGGATTGACAGTTTTTATTAGAAAGTACAATCTGAAGACGTTCGGAAACTGCAGTGATTACAAAGGTCAGCTGCCAGATTACTAACTGGGACTAGCTATAGGGAACATACTATGTCCCTACTAAAACAGCTCCATTGGCTTCTGACAAGTTTCCGGGCTCAATTCAAGGTGCAGGTTATTACTTACAAAGTCATATACGCTTCGGTTCCAACTTATTTCCGCATCTCTTTCTATGTACCAGCGCGGTCTTTGAGATCAGAACTTCTCTTGGTCCCTCCACTGTCTCAAGCGTGGTTGGTGGGGACGAGAAAGAGGGCCTTCTCTGTCGGGGCTCCTTGGCTCTGGAATACCTTCCCAAAAGAGATTAGGTTAGCCACCACCCTTGACTCCTTCCAATCCAGCCTGAAAACATGGATTTTTAATCAGGTTTTTGGTTTTGAATAGGCTGAAATGGGCCCATATGAGGTTGACATTCTGGCACTTTAGTTGTGAATTGATGGCAGCTAGTTTAAACTACAGATGATCTGCATTTTTTAAATTGTGTTATTTTGTTTTATATGTATTGATAGCGGTTGTTTTTATCATTTTTATGTGATACTGTTTTATACTCATATGCCATTTTTGTTATGCTACACTTGGAGTGCCTTGCAATCCACCCTGAGTCCCTTTCAGGAGATGGTGGCAAGATATAAATAAAGTTTATTATAGTTTATTATTAGTATGTGCATATCATCAAGGAATCATAAAAAGGCTAACATCTCTTTCAGGTCAAAATTTATGAACTGCACTCTTAGTATATGTTTAGAAGAGAGAAATGCAAGAAATAAAAAGGCTGCTTCATGGCTGCCTTCTACCTAGTCCAGTGGTTCTCAACCTGTGGGTCCCCAGATGTTTTGGCCTTCAACTCCCAGAAATCCTAAAGCTGGTAAACTGGCTGGGATTTCTGGGAGTTGTAGGTCAAAACACCTGGAGACCCTCAAGTTGAGAACCACTGACCTAGATCTATTGTAACATACTGAGAATTCCTGACCACGTATATATTTCTATGCTTTAGAACACAAGGAAGATTCAAAGTAGGAATGTAGCCCACAATTAATTTTCCCCTTCTTTGTCTTATAGAATTGTGATATATGCTTTACTGATATTTGACATTTAAAAAAATTAATATTGCTTTTACACAAGAAGAAATCAAGTGAAAGAGCAAGCAAAAGCTGTGGCATGTGTAACATTCTGGGATCATTCAGATATAATGCTAAATCATTTTTGGCAGAAAGTCAGAGATTAAATAAAAGAGAATCTAAAAATAAATTATACTTTAATGTGTTCTGCTTACGGCATGACGTTGTTGTGTCCATTCAAGTCATTTCAAATTCCCACTCTGCCACAGAAATCCACTGTGTGGCATGGGACAAGTCAAACTCGCTCAGTATCTCAGAGGAAGGTAATTGCAACCCCCCTTTGAACAAATCATACTAATAAAACTATGTGACAGGTTTGCCTTAGGGTTTCCATAAATTGGAAATGTCTGGAGGCACACCAGTTATTTGTTTATTTACAGCATTTAGGACAGATCACAGAACACATACACGACAAACATTCAATGCTGTTAAACAGACAGGACAGACAACAGATATATGTCAACATTTTTCTCAACTTTGGCATCCTGGAGGTTGTGCTCGATTCTGGCCTGGGGGGGGGGGTTGCTGTCACTCTATCCTCTATGATGAAGAGCCCTTGATCACAGACTTCCTCCTTTGTTTGATCAATGGCATTTTCTGATATTTCATTTTTATGGTGCCGTAAAATATTTCCCTGCTTAAGCGGTGCCTAATTTCTCTACTCACATCTCACAGTTGTTTTTGAACTGCTTAGGTGGACAGTAAGATGGGCTGAAGGTCAGGTGCTCACCCCGACCTGGGCTTCGTACTGTCAACCTTTCGATTGGTGTGATCTATTGCTGCTGGTGATTAACTAGCTGTGCTAAAGTCTATTGATTCTAGCAAGTCTATTCTATTTGTAACCAGCAATTATACATATATGTGTGTGTTTTAAAAATAAACAACACATTCATGACGTGATACTAATGAATAGTAAGCAACAAATTGCCTCTTTTTTTAAAGGACGGCAATGTCAGCATGTTAGTTTTTGCCTTAATATTTCAAAGCTGGTTCAGTTAATCCAAACTTGGACTATGTCATATTAACCTGATTTATACATTGATCTGCACATGAAAAAGAGAAGAGGAACTGATCATGGCTTGTGAATATAACGCAACCAACCTAGAACAAAAAGTATCCATATTGTCCCAACGTATTCCCCCCCCCCCTCTAATGTTTTCTTGTAAATAAACAAAAGGCTAATGGATATGTGTACTGAACATAGTCCTTTATTTCCTTTATAGGGCATAACTATTGTTCAGTGAATAATGGTGGGTGCACTCATCTATGCCTGGCTACCCCAGGGGGCCGTTCTTGCCGATGTCCAGATAATACCATTGGAGTGGATTGTATAGAAAGAAATTAAGAGGTACAGCATGGGATATGCCAAGCCACCTTTTGGAAAGGTACAATCAGCAACTATTTAAATGGTCAGTCACATACAAGGAAAGATCCCAAAGAGAAGATCTCTATGCTGCCTGCAAACAGAAGCCATGAAGCACACCTGTAAGACCTATCATTGCCCCTATCATGGAATACTGCCATATCTGTGCAACCATCTGTTGTACACTTTCTTCTTCATTCTCCCTTTCCCCTTTTTAAAGATAACTCTAGTTAACAGCTGTGTCTGTAATTGATACCTCTTAAGACAATATTTTTGGTACAAATTGTAGTAGGGATTGAAATTAAGTAGAAACTAGCATCAGATACACTCTTAATAGGTGGTGGCCATACATAAGATGCGGAACAATGTCTTCAAACTACAGGAAAGGAGATTCCACCTGAACATGAGGAAGAACTTCCTAATTGTGAGAGCTGTTCAGCAGTGGAACTCTCTGCACCGGAGTGTGGTGGAGGCTCCTTCTTTGGATGGCCATCTATTGGGGGTGCTTTGAATGCGATTTTCCTGCTTCTTGGCAGGGGGTTGGATGGCCCATGAGGTCTCTTCCAACTCAATTATTCTATAAGGAGATTTGGCAATTTATTTACAAATTAACTTTTGACTGGTGCAGCTGCATGTTTAAATCTGAATGCCAGGCAGTGAAGTTTGGAGATAGAGTAATTGAAATTCCAACTATATGAGGGTTTTTTTAGGAGTAACAGCAAGCCCCCTAAGCAAAGGGCATACCATATTCCATAGACCCTTCTTCCAAAGGTTTTAACCACTACTCCTGAATATGTTTAATATCTAGTGGTACACTATTATTGCAGTGCTTTGAAATGATCAAAGCAAATTGGTGCTACAGTTGGTTGACTTGTCCATGCAGATCTAGTTTAGTTGCTTCTGTAGGGTTCCTCTCCCCCCAGCTTTTCATTGGGATTTTCCAAAATAAGTTATCAAGAGGACAAAGGGAAATGTGCAGCCATGGATGTTCTGGTTTCATTAGGACAACAACAGAGTACATTCTAGACTGTGGCCTGCTTTTGTCCTACATCTGAATCTAAACTGACTTTCAGGTAGATCCTGCCAAATATTCTTCACATTTTATTTCCATTTTTTTCTAGAGGTTCCTTTCTAAGTATACACAACCTGGTTTTACTGTACTTTAGTTTTTCACATAGCATAAGCAATCAGGTTGATGAAACGATCCATCAGGTAGTTAGAATGTTTTCAGTGTTAGGTCTTCATGAGAGATATCTTGGGTATCGCATCACCAAAGTAATGGTTATGTTTTGTGTGAGTTGCTGGGAAGCACAATTCACGCACACCAGAATCAGCAAAATGTGCGATATAAGCAGAATGTAGGTTTTTAGGTAGTTTGAAATTCTTCTACTAAGGCGATTTTAAGAAGCATTAGTTCTGCTGGGAAAGAAGTACATCCTCAGTAGGGCGGGGGGCAAACTCCATTGAGATAACAACTCATTCTACCCCCAGCTTTTAAAAGCATGCAGAAGGTTAGACTTCAGAAGTATTGCTTACAAATCAGTATTAAAAAAGAGCCAGTTTTGAGGCTTCATAACTGATAGCTTTTTATATATATTTATCACTGAAATATCAAATGCTATATTAAATATTTTAAATTTTGTATAACACTTGTATAGCTTTGATGCATTTAATTCTTACACTCTATTAAATATGTCTGCAGAAATGTAAATGCCAAAAATTGTACTGAAAACAAACAAAAGGTGCTTTTAATAAGTGTACTTCCAGTGTTATTTCATTTTCAGGTGACAACACAGAAAGTTTACGTATTGTACGGCTATTCATAGCTACCAATAAAATTATTGTTTTGTTTTTTTTTATAAAAAAAGAATGAAAGTTATATTTGGAGCATATTACATCTTCATATTTTTTATAAAAAAAAGTTTTAGACTTCCTTTTTTAACCCTGTATCTGTGTGATATATAGATTTTATGTGGTATTTAATATGTACTTTTAGCAAGCACAGAGTTGCATGAATTACTCAGTCTTACAGACATATGAAAACATTATTAACAAGAAATTTATTTGCAGGGTTGCTTGAAAAATCCATGAACTCTTCATCCAGCATTCAAAAGCCATTGCAAAAAATTGTCTTCATAATAATACAGGTCACAACCTTAGCATATTTTCAAGATAATGTATATTCTACCACACACACACACACACACACAGAGAGAGAGAGTAACAGCTTAGTTCAGCAGTGGATAATACTGAACAAAACTACATGGAAACAAAACAACTGGGCCCCTCCTGGATGACATTGTTGTTGTTTGGCTTAGGGCTTCCACAATACCTCATCATTACCATGTTTTATATCAGTGGTTCTCAACCTGTGGGTCCCCACAGGTTTGGCCTACAACTCCCAGAAATCCCCGCCAGGATTTCTGGGAGTTGAAGGCCAAAACATATGGGGACCCACTGTTGTATATTGTTCATGGAACATGTAAGCCAAAATTACCCAAAGACCTAGAGTTGCCCCACTCCGATCTAGAGCCTCCATCAAGATGTCACTTTTCACTGCTTTAGAATCCAACTCTCAAAGCATCTTCTGAAAAAATGCTCTTTTCCAATACCAGACAAGAGTTGAACACAACAAAGAAACACAGGCTACCAAAATATGGAATGTAAAAAAACTTGAATATACCTTCCCTTCATAATCCTAGGAGAAATGGGAGGATGGAGCCAGGTGAGTCAAGGATCTAACTTTATTTAAGAAAACTACTGTGTTTACTCGAGTATAATGGACCATTGAATGTAATGCATATCTCAATTTTGAAGGTGTGCATTATGAAAAATGTGTTAAACGTAATGCAAGTTTGTGGCTGTGAAAATGTTGATTGGCTTTCCTGCGAGTCTTTTTGTGGCCACCACTGTTTCCCTCATCTGTTCTCACTGGGATCTCTTACCCAACAGCACAAACAGATTTAACAGGTGTGCGATTTTAACGTGCCATCAAATCCATCTGCACCTCAATTTTTGCGATGTAATTTAGCCAAAAATTGTGAGCATTAGGCTCGAGTAAACATGATAATGCATTTAAGAAAAGAAATTCATTTCTGTCTCCTTCCCTGACAGTTCAGAACCTTCAGAGACTAGGAGTGTATCTACACAATAAAATTAAAGCGATTTGATGCTATTTTAATTATTGTGGCTCAGAGCTATGGAATCATGGAAGTTGTGGTTTTATAAGGTCTTTAGCTTCTCTGCCTAAAAGTGCGGGTTCCTCACCAAACTACAAATCTCATGGTTCCATTTAATTGAGTCATGGCAACTAGTGATGTCAAACTGCATTCATTCTACAGTGTAGATACATCCTAGGAGTTGTTGTTGTGTGTGTGTGATAATAGTACATATCCCCAATATCCACAGGGGATATGGTCCTGGACATACCATGGAAACACAAAACCGTATAAAACACTTTTGAAATGAACAACTGCTGAAGGCATGCTATAGAATTGCACTGGAGGACCTGAAAATGCCTAGAGAGAACATTTTTTTCAAATATTGGTAAGTGACACAAGGGTTCAATGATCTTCAGCTTTTGCTCTCAGTACAAATTGAAGCAGATTAAATCTGATACAATGGAATCAATTTCCTATTGAGAGAGTCCTGTGCTGCTCTGGTCACAACCCTGGAAGAAACCACGAAAGTAGACCAAATGACACACTTACTACCGTACTGTTGGTTTGCACCACATGGATAGATATGGTGGTATAAAAGGATCCATGACCATTGAGTTGAATAATGCAGAACTGCTATTCAAGGCTTTGTATGCACTGAAGCTAACTCCTATAATAAAGCTCACAAAACCAAGAAATAAATGTCTATATAGGGATGATAGACTAGCCCTCAGTAAATGCAATGCATTCTACAGTTTGGGGACATGTAAAATGATTCCTCCCATAAGTTCTTCCTTGATTTCTCACATATGCATATACGCTATTCAATTTCCTGTCTTACAGCTGCAAAGAAAATGAAGTTATGAAACTGTCTTCTCTATGATGGTGTTCAGTGGAGTATGTTTCTATTGGTCTTTGGCCACCTTTCTTGTGTTACGTCAACAACTAATCAAAGTCTAGTTTTTCAGGAAATATTTAATACTAATACTACATTTTATATATATTCTGCTCTATCTCTCCTCAGAGCAGATTACAGTGTACACATATATAGGCAAACACCCAATATCTTTTGTACAGTGAATAATTAAATACAATACACAAACAAAGGCAAAGGTTTCCCTTTCCATCTTTAGTGTCTGGAGGGGATCCTCAACTTTGGCCACAGGGAGGTGCTCTTGTTCCATTTTTCTATACCAAGGAGCCTGTTGTTCGTAGACCCTTCTGGTTGTTTTGCTGGCATGGGCACCTTTTACCTTCCCACCGAGGCAGTACTTATTGATGTACTCACATTATAGGTTGGCAGAAGCTAGGGCTAACAGCAGGAGCTCACCCCAACCCACAGCTTAGAACTACCAGCCTTCCAGTCAGCAAGTTTTTCTGCAGCTAGTGGTTTAACCTGCTGTGCTATGTGACCCCACATATAATTACCATCAGCAATTATATTTTAAGATATACTTATGACTTAATTTTACGTGTATTTGGATATGTCTAAATCTAATAATTAGTCCCAGCTAAAGAAATGTCATTAAATCAATAGAACTTACGTAATTTACTGCATTGTCATTGACTGATGGATCTGCTGTAATAATTATTTTTACAACTTTTTTTCACTTTGGGGCTTTATAATTTTTAGTATTTTATGTGCTATGTTGAGTACCACCTAGGCAAGTGATAGTGTGGAAAAGAGATGTTTGAATTAAGAATAATACATGCAAGAAGTATGCTATTGAAGGAAAATTTGTCAGTGGGAATCCTGAATACTAAAGTCTTCTCAAATCTCATGGGTCAAGCATGACAGCATGCAACTGACTCTATTAATATTTAGCATAACTCATACTTCGGAGTTACTGAAAGTTGCCCCAAAGAAAAACGGAAACATCTAAATGGCTATCACATTCTTCGTCTGCTGCACTGGGGAAAATACTTTGCAATAAATGTTAACTGTGTTGTGTTAGGTTTTGATTCCTGTGGTTTATTATATCCATGGAATCCATTCCTTGGGGTGCTGCTGTTAGCTCGAGAGAATCTACAAAGTGGCAACATCCCTGGTGAGAGTATTTCAACCTGGAAAACTGCTTATTTGGCATTTCTCTGATTACACAGTTTTGTCACAAAACACTGGGTGTTAACTTGGTGGAACATGATTAAGAATGACAGGAGATTATTAAAGGATAAGCATATAAATGGCCCCTCAATTATAGTGTCATACTTCATCAGTTTAATTAAAAGTTAAACATAGTATGATTCTCAATGCAAGCATTTCATGGTGTAATGCTCAGACTTGGATCTTGTAGCAGTAGCAAAACAATGTAATGTCTGAAGAATTGGCTTAGAAAGATGCAAAAACCTGCTACATTCCAAGCCCATTGACAATTTCATTTTATATGGGGGTGCCTATTCAGACTACTACTATACTGCTTCTAATTAAGTTGATGAAACTATACCAAAACAATCTCAAAATAATTTTGAAACAGGGATGCCTGTCTCACTTGCTTACTGAATTCCAGTGGTTGTCAATGGCTAGAAATATGTACTGTATATTAGTCATGGGCCTGAAATTTGTCCCATTCGTTTCATTCGTGTTTGTTTTGTTCCGTCCATTCGGATGGCACGAAATGGAAAGGCCCCTCCTGAAATGAAAATGCAATCAAAACAAAAGGTAGGCAGACCTGCTTTTTGGATTGATTGCATGGGGCCTGGCAGGGCCTGCAACCAAGTGCCAAGTAAGGAGCACTCCTTACACAGCACTTGGCTGCAGGCCTTGCCAGGCCCAGGCACGTAGTCCCAAAGCGTACACCCTACACTACAGGCAGTAGAGAGAGCTGTCTTCCTGATATGAAAGAGACTTTTTTTTCGTGTCAGGAGCAACCTGAGAAACTGCAAGTCGCTTCTGGAATAAGAGAATTGGCTGTCTGCAAGGACGTTGCCCAGAGAATGCCCAGATGTTTTTTGAAGTCTTACTATCCTTGTGGGAGGCTTTTCTCATGTCCCCACATGGGGAGGTGGAGGTGACAGAGGGAGCTCATCTGCGCTCTCCCCAGATTCAAATCTCTGACCTGTCAGTCTTCAGTCTTGCCAGCACAAGGGTTTAACTCATTGCACCACCAGGGGCTCTTATGAAGGAGACTGAGGATGGGAGATTAGGATGGAGCTACTGACTGAGAATGCAATTGCAGATATTGTGAGGCTTTGTTGGGTTTTATCTCTGGAAGGCTGATAATGCTTCTTCTCCTATATTTACCAACCTGGCCACTGTCAACTCTGGAAGTAATAATCTGTCTGACTGATGTGTACATCTGGCAGCAAGACAATATGGCACTGTCATCATGACATATAATCGGGGAGAATAAGAGGCAGGAAATGCAATTAGGTAAAGCTTGCACTAGCAGTTCATCCTCTTCTTTTAGTCTAGACTCTACACAAATGAGTTGTCCAGACATCGTCTCTGTTTCCCTACATTGCTCTTCTTTCATAGAAACAGGCCCCTCAGGCTTCTTGCCTCATTTCAGATGTACTCTTCTTAAAATTATCTGAAGGATTTTTAAAAAATGTTATCATGCCTTGAGGAGCAGACATCTAATTCCACTCTGTGTATTTCAAGAGATCCTAATGGCAAGGGAAGGGAGCTTTCCCATTGCATCAAACTCCACATGAAGAGCTGCCAGTTCCAGTCAAGTTTTCCAGATCTGTAAGCAAAACGTGGTCCTTCTTAAAATGTCAAAACAGCCCCCTTGGTAGGGAAAATAGCACACCTGATGTAACCAGATGTGGCACCATAAAATTT